TCGGGACACTTTAGAAATTTTAACAAAATCTACATACTTTTGACTTTGACTTTCGAGAAACTTTAATCTCAAAAAAACAGTTAGAAACAGGAGATTTTAAAAATCACATGTTTCTTTTCTGCTCGATTTTCGAATGCTACATTGTAAAATGTAAGTTATTATATCCTTCATTCTTGATAACGTAGGTAGGTCCCACGTGTGTTTTAGAGAGGTCCCGATACTGATACAATATTTAAAATAATATTATGGGTAGCATAATTTGATACTTTTATCCGGCAATGAACTTCAACAACGCCTCCCGAATTAATTTAATAAGCTTCAGGTTTACCGGGCAATTTTCTTGATTACAAGCACAATTGATAAACTTTACCTACATTTGAAAATTTAGTTTCCGGATTTTTTGAGATTTAAAGCCTTCAAAGGCTTCACTTTCAAGAGCCTCGAGGCTATTTCTCATAAGTAATACGAAATTCCATAAAAATGACGGGGATTTAGTTGATTTTTTTTGTATAGATATGTATGTGTAAATCATATTACACATATACCTATACTTCCAACAAAAAATTATTAAAATATGTTGATTAAATTTTAAATGACAACAGACCTAGCAACAGACAATACACTCATATTTTAAAATAAAATACAATGGACACCTTTTACAAGTTTACAAAAATGAGAAAATCCGCGCCAGTCCATACAGATATTTCCGAGCCTTTACAATGTTAGACCTTAGAATCTTCAGAAAGTATACCTTACAGATTGTGACTATTTTAGAAGTTTGGTCATAAAATTTAGGAACTTTATACGAGATTTTAGAATAGTTAGGAAAGTTTAGGTAATACATCTACAAGCTTTCGAAATTTTAGGGACTTCACTACTTCAGTAAATTTAGAGATCGTTATTCGTTAAGGGCTTCTGAAGCTTTAAGGATCTTAGAAATTTCAGAATCTTAGATAGGTACCTATATGCTTAAATAAGTTTAGAAACGACGGGTGGTTTTAAAGGGTTTGTTGGCTTTGAAGGCTTTGGAAGTTTTAAGGATTTTAAAAACAAGATTTAAAAACTTTGGAAACCCAAGAGCTCGAAACTAGCGATTTCAGAAACGGGAACATAGGTACGAAAGGTTGGAGATTTTAGAAACTTAGTCTACAAACTTGGAATCATTTTAGACTAATAAAAAGCTTACATACTTAAAAACTTGCACTGCAGAAAGTTTACCCTCTAGAAACTTCAAAAGCTACAAGAGGCTTAACCTTCCAGAAAGTGTTGAGATCTATGGAACATTATAGAAATTTTAAAAAAGACTTTAAAATCTGAAATTTTAAGGAACTTCATGGGTATGAAAAGTAGAGACTAGGTACAATCCAAATGCTGATGGGGTAAAATTGAAACCTTTTAACATAATGAAGCTAAATTTGCTCCCCAAAGACAAGAAAGAGAGTTACCATGATAAACTTTGTTAGGCTGGACAAATTAAATCGTTTTAAAAATAAGACACCCTTCTCCAGACCTCCATCTGGAGTGTGCGTAATGCATTTCCCCACCTGTCAAAAAAAAAAACACCCTTCCAGCTAACAGGAGAAACTGACCCTTCATAATTGCGACTTTTATCATAATCATTAGTACCTACTTGGCTGATAAAAACATTTAGAAAATCAATTTTAAAATAAATGTGTAAACAAATATACCAAACGAGCTCCTGGGTATAGCTTGACATTGCTTATTATATGACTAAAGATATGCTCATTTTGAATTTCATGCAAAACTAACGGTTTGCCTTCCTTATTTTTTTGGCATAGGTCCCTACATTGCCAATTCACGAACTCACATCTACAAATTTGAGAAATAATCCACCTGCAAAATTTCATCGTAATCGGTCCATTCGTTTTCCGGATATCGTGCTAACGGACAGACAGACGGACGGACTCAACATCTCAAAATTGTGAACTTGAGACGAGCTCCGGGCTCGTTAATAAACAGAGGCAGATATATGTATTTTCAGAGGTTATGGGGACGGATCCAGTACCTATTAAAAAGACGGGGAAAGTCACAAATTTTACAATTCCCTTTGAAACCGGTTCGAAAAATACAGGCGCCATCAGTCGATAAAGAAAGTTCCAACATCGACGCCGAACTGATAAATAGTTCGTCCTCGAGTGTTATAAATTTGAGTTATAAATCAATCTATGTTAAGGACCGTTATAGATTGTACATAAATAAATCACGTAACTTAATTTACGTTAAGTACAGTATAATAATTACAAACGCTTTAGCTATTATAAAATCTTTAGACTTATACGCCCTACACACTTCAATTGTAATATACAACGGTTAACCAGATACCTACTCAAAACTTGAGGCACTAGGTACAGAAAGTTTAGCCTTAGCCTTAGCCACCTATTATAGACTTCAAAAACCACAAAAAGCTGAAGCTTTCAGAAAGGTCTCTGGAACATTTAGACATTTTTTTAGGGACTTTAAAGCTGAAACTTCAAAGAACCTAGTATTTAACTTTATGACTCGAGTGGCCACTTTGGTTGGAGGAAAGGTTACGAAAATAACTTCACAAACAAGAAAATTAAGTTTAATTTCTGATAAGATCTAAACGAAATAAGGTTATTCATGCCCAAAAGAAGGAGAGGCTTAGAAACTTCAGAAAATTTAGAGACTAGGTATTACCTATAGTTTGTAATTCCACAATAATTTGGTCACAAATAAGGAAGATAGTTAACTATCGTTCCAAATGTCAGATAAGTAGCTACGAGTATAAACGCGGCATAAGGTTATGTACTTATTTTCCTTCTAAACAAGGAATAAAATTGCAATGGGCACTTCTTTAGAGACAGATTTAGCAAATTCAGAGGCCAAAGGGACAAAGTTAGCTACTCTCCAAAAACAGAAATAAAATTATAATTAATGCCACAATCTTTCTATCGAAAAACTTCGGCACATCATCAGCATATAATAGAAAAATGGAGAAACTGAGAGGACCAAATCTGCGATTCAAATACTTGTAATAACCTTTGTAATGATGAAATGAAATTATTTATAATCACGAGAAATATTTCTGCAAAAACAATGTTCAGTTTTAAAAACTAAGGGGGATCAAATCCCTAGAGACATTCCGGTCCGTCACATAGGATATTTCGAGGAAATAGCGGGGAAATATGTAGGAAATGGACGACATTAGAAGAAGTTCTGGGAAAATCTTGGGGAAATAGGAGGAAATTTCAAGGGAATGCAGAAATTCTAGGGAAATAAAAGAAAATTTCGAGGAAATTCTGAGGGGATCTAGAGGAAAATTTAAGGAAATAGAACGTTTCTATAGGGAAGTACTCATTTCACGTTAATTCGGAGAAATATTGGGGAAATTGCTAGAAATGTGTAAGATGCGATTGTAAGAGAAACTGCAATTATGAAATCCTGCCCCAACTCCCAAACCTATGCCCATTGTAACTATGCTATACCTTAGTTAATTAATAAATTAATTCAGTTTCTTAGAATTAATATACTATAGTAAGGGGATAGATAATAGGCGACTTATCTCACGATGAATGCTTGAAATAACAAATTTTAAAAGATTTCGATTTACAAGTGGGTGCAAAACTGACACATTCAGATGAACCCAGGGATCAACCTGAGAATCTGTGATCTGATGATTACCTAATGCTGTACAGGAAATTTGTAAATGATTTGATCATTGAATATAAAAACACTTTATTCAATGCTTCCATTCTGCATGTTACATTGTATGGTATATAAATGATAAAAGGTTAATTTTTGATGACGTAGATCGCACGCGCTTTTTATACAAGTGAGACTGAGACGCAGCGTACTGAAAATAATCTGAATTAGGTGTAATTTAATATTTTCAACAGGCAAGGAAAAACAAACAGTTATTGTTGGCGAATTGTTTTTAGTTTGCATTCCTCTCGCCAACGACTGAACGACGCCAACCTTAATCTTGGGAGCTTCCGGTTTAGGTGATAATTTTATTGTTATACAAGCACTATTTGTATTTATTGTCTATGGCTAATAAACTGGTGTAGTAGGTATATGACAGATTGTTTCCTATTTCAAAGGAAAAGCGTATTTTTTGTTATAAAGAAAAACCAGCAGAAAAGATTTCAGAAGGTACCTTTGGTCCTTTGGAGGATTATTCGAAATACCTGATACTTCATTAAGAGGTTACCTAATAACCTTTTGATACCTGTAGATATATTTAGTTTACATATAAAATAAAATTGTGAGTAGGTAATGACTGAATGACGCTAATTTATGGTTCCAACATGACCAACGTTTGTCTGTTGTATTTTTGTTTCAATAAAAACGTTATGACTGAATAATCTATGCTCTGTTTCAGTTCTTTTGAAAAAATGCAAAATTAAATAGGTACCTACTCAAGTACAATAGGATATCAGAGAGAAAGAGGCCTGAACTGTAACTTCTTCACCCAAACTGTAGCACCCGTCGCCATATATTCACTGCTAATTACAAAGTAGATTTCCTGTGTCTATATTCGAAGTTCCAAACTCACAAATCTTGAAGAGCATACAACAAACATATATCATGATTCGCTCCGCATTTCGAGACTGGTGACCAGTTATTATGTACTTTTCCAATTACTCTTAGGCAATTAGACGAGAGAGATTAGAAGGGTAGAGAAATTGGAAAAATGCTAGAGCCTAGAGCTCAAGAGAATAACCAGTAGCCATACACGGAGACAGAGGAGAGATAGTAGAAAGCGTAGATAAAGTAACCTTATAAGTTATAACTAGTAACTACCATTTCTACTAGAGATACCTACACACTGTGGGGAATAAAGGGGTGAGGAGAATTAAGAGGCCAGTGGACTAAATTACAAGACAGGAGAGGCAAGACGTGCCAAAGAGATTGTACAACCCTACAGGGAGTAGAGAAAGTAGTCGGACAACAGACCATAGACAGTCTAGCTAGGGTAGGGAGACTGAATAAAAATGTTTCAAAATGCCCCAAGAGCCTTTCTTTTTTAAATCAGTTTATTGTAAAATGCTTTTATTGGTACAAAATTTATAATTAAAACTACGTAATAATGAATTTTTACTATTAACTCACATTGAAATCACAGAATTAAGATTCACTGTCACTTGAAGTGATTATCGTCCTTTTTTGAACATTTTGTTTTTTAGCACGTGGCTTCTTAGCTGGCGGAATACTTTTCTCTGCGGTTTTGTTCGAACTAAGCTTTCTACGCCTAGAGCCAGTTGCTAAAATTAAGTACGTTATCCAGCGCACTTTACATATACTATACATACTATGTACATAGCACACCTCGACATCAGCACCAATCGACCGAAGAAAATCTAACCAACATTCTTGCTTGGCAGATAATTGATCATTTTCTCCTTTCACCTCCACAAATTTACACTAAAATAAATAAGATGTTACTTGAAATTACTGTTCAGCACTCACCCTTTTCTCATCGAGATTCCATAAAAATAGATCAGGTAATCCAGAACGGTAACTTCCAAAATCTTCAAGAAAGTGTTCGAAAATCTTTCTCAACTTAGGGCGTCCTATGCACATCAGCATATCAAACAACCTCTCGGGGTCCTCCACAAGAGATGAGTGAATGAACGATTTTTTTTGTGAATTTCTGTTCCATACGTCACAAATAAGCTGATGCATCATTTTGTCCGTCCACTCAGATTCTACTTCCGAAAGGCGTTTACCAATCTTCCTTCTTCTACTTGTGTAAAATTCGGTACTATACAAATCTAACGGATAATGTTGAATTTCGCTAACAAAAACAGAAGGAATGGTATGATCATAAATTATGTCCCAAAATAGCAAAAAGAAAGATGTTATCAACAGGCTGTTCTCACAGTGTATGCCATTTAGCCCAAAATTCTGCTCATAATAATTTAAAGCTACTTCTTCTACACTGTACAATTCGAAACCATTATCTATTCTTATGTAATAGTTACGTTTCTGGCCGGAATTTTCGCTATAAAATCAATTTAATTGTATCAGGTGAAGATAGTACAAGTTACCTGCGAAACGCTTGAGCGTCGATTTCTCGATAAGGTAAGTTTTTAATTGGAAGAGGCTGAACAGAGGATATTGTACCGAAGTCAATTTGGCTTATCTTGTACGTTTTATTATGTTTTATCTTTTCAGCTCGTTTATTTAATTCCATTCGATGTATGTTTCTTAAGCTTGTGTCTTGCAAAGAATCGATCAACGTTTTGGTAACCTAAATTTCAATCCAAATTTATCCTGTTAAACTTTTGCTGCTTACCTCGTCATATTTTTTTAAATGCTTGGTTTGAATTATAGTTAATTGGATGAACCATGCACCTCGTAAGTATTGGCAAAATAGACGTTGGTCCAACAGAAACTTTAACCACTCACAGGCCAATTCTTTATGAGGTTTTATTACAAATGGTATTGCGTGCCATAAAGCCTTTGTGTATTTATGGCCTGGCGTAAATCTGTGAAGATATGATGGGCGATTATCCACAACATTTCTAAAACGAAAAATCGAAATTATGTTCTACACTAGCACATTTATGTAAGTTGTCTACGAAGTACCAGGTTAGTTCATGTTCTCTGTTAGCGCACAATGAGTGACGCTACTTCCATCCAGAGAAAAGGCCACCATGGTCAGACAACCTGAGAAAAAGAATCCCAACCCCAAGTCCCAAGAAGTTTATACCACATATCCATGGGCAGGAAGGTTGCTGAAAGGCATTTTAAAATAGTTATTATCCCCCCCTTTACATGTGGGAGATAACTGGGCGTGATTTTGAGGATCTGGTGTGGGAACGCGAATAAGTGCCAGCTAAACAGGTACAAAATTTCAAGGAACAGAGCTGTATTGCTGGCACTAAATGAACGCAGTATCACATCTAGACTTGTATAGGGGCGTTTTCAACTAGTTGCAACGCTGCCTGGGCGGGCTGCCCTGTGAATAAAGAGATAGAGAGCGCATAAAGAGAAAGAAAAGAGAGAAATATAAGGCCTAAGTAAAGACATTTGTTTAAAATTCACAACCTACCTCTCAACAATTTTCTTCAATTCCTCATAAATTTTACAAGCCAGTTGGTAAATGAGAGCACTGTCCTTTTTATCCGCGGCAATTAAAACAGAGGCATAACATTGAAAAGCTTCATGAAAGCTGCAACTTACATTAATAAAAATTTGCACCAGAAGGCAATTACCTGTTAAACTCCTCAATAGACCTAAATATATCAACGTTTCTATCGACAAGATATGATGGCAAAACAATTGATCCATCCATAAGTCGGCTCATGAACAAATACAAATCACTTGTCTGAATATACTCATTTGTGGTAAACATGTATAAGAGATGCACTTTGTTTAATAGTTTAAAAAAGTATTCGTTCAGTTTCATACAGAATCCCATTTTCTTCTTAAGCGAATTCATTAACAGATCTCTTATGCTACTTTTAATAGTCAAAGTCGTTTGATTGTTGCAGTTGTTTAAAAGCTTGTCAACTAAGTCGGTCTTCTTCACTTTTGAGAAAGGAATTTTAAATTCCACACATAACTCCCTTAAGATTTTCACATGTAAGTGATGCAAAAGGTCATGTATCGGCTCAGTGGAGTAATCTGACCAAAAACAAAAACATTTACAACACAGCAATTGAAAGGTGGACCACTTACCTGTGTCAACAAATAAGCTTCCCTTCAAACAATCGTACATTGCCATCACTTCCGGATCGGATAATTCCGATTTTATTGCAGTTCGTAAATCAAAGATGTTGTACCACTTTTTAATTCTTGTATACAGTTTGAGACAGAAAAAAATGTACTTGCTGTTTAATTGAAGAAAGTTATGTAGCATGACTGTGTCTTTATAAACCAACAGTTTTTGTAAACGCTCGTGATTCACAACAAAGTTGATAATCTCCAGAATTATATTCAGCGAAATGGGATTGTCGGTTTCTTCATTATATTCAATGGTAGACTTGGATACTAATACTGTACATGGCGAGCTCGTGTTTATTGTACTAGTCGAAGCTTGCCAATTTTTTTTTCCTGGATTTCTAATGGGAGATAATTGGCAATTTGACAATGTACTTATGTGTTTTACGGAGATCAGTGGTTTGTTTTGTACACATTGTGGTGTTGGAATATCAACATTTTGGTCGATTATGATTGTGGACTCGTCTGATGGTAGTACTACTAAATCGGCAGATTCATTCGTGAGACTCTCATCTAATTTTTCGGGGCTATTCTTTTTAAGAGGGCTATACACACCAATTGACATCTTCGGGATGTTTTTTGGTATATCTGCAACTTTTTGGTTTTCCTTATTGTGACAATCTTCTGCTAAATCTGAAAAAGTAATAGTAGGTAAATAATAATAAATTAATTGATACATCTCATAAATGTGTCAAGTAAACCAAACAACAGGGATATTGTTCAGGAGTTTAGAGTAAAGCTAATAAATTTCATACACAAAGTATAGTGGTAATGTTTCTAAGCTGTGAACATGGCCCTCTATAACCTTCAGTGATAGTGCTTAGATTATACTTTTGTTCCCTTCGAGGATTACAACAGTAGAGCAGACAATGGCGATAGAGGAGTGACAGCAAGCAGGTAAAGGGCGGGGCAAAGGGGAATTCTTAATATTTCGAGATAATAGTGGTGACGCCCTCTCTCGGTGTGTTTGGAAACTACTTACCAAGGACGCAAGATATAAGAATCTTTGAAAATTAATGAACACAGTGATTTGGTGATATTCTTCTCAATGGGACGTTTAACTCAACATCTACATCTACATGATCAAATAACAACCAAAAAGGAACAATCCACATCCATTTTTATTAATATAAGTATAAAAAATATAATATATAATATAAAATTAATGTAAATGGAACATAAGCCATATCTCAAACCAAAGCAAATAATTTATGCTAAATTCTGGAAAAGTACAGCATGTACTAAAACTAAAGTAAACTCATCTCAAATCCGCAGTCCCTGATATAACCAAAATATATCTTCAAGTGAACTGCTTTATTGTATGATCATCACATTTTCAATTATCACATCGTTTTAATTGTTTTGTCGAGGAGAAAACCACCAAAGCCAATTGTGTACACATTAATTGTACTAAAAGTGTAAGTGACAAAGTGGTTTACTCCTCGTGTTTAATAGATTGTGCAACCCTTCTACAAGAAAGCTACTGTGGTGGGTGGCAAAACCTGCTTTCTTGAAATTTATTTACGTTCATCACGAAGTTCCTTTAACATAATAATGACTTCTGAACTCGTAATTGCACTATGCGTAGTACAATAACGATTTATCACAGCCTCTTGCGAATCTGGAAGTCCACATAGAAGTAAAGTTCCTATTTCATCGTCGTCAATGTTTATATTAAGCTCATTTAACTCTTGGACAATGTCCAATATGCCGTTAACATACGCATCTGTCGAAGAAAAATCTTCGTACTTCGCTCGATATAATTTACGTTTTAAGTGGACCATGTCAGTTAGTTCGGAGCGTTGAAAGGCTTTCTCCAAATTCATCCAAGCCTCCTTCGAAGTTTTGGCTCTTCTTAAGTGGACAAGACATCCTCGCTTTACTGAAAAGCACATTTTTGCCAGTGCTCTTTGGTCACGTTCCGTATTGGTATCATTGCCAAGAATACAATTCCACAGGCCGTAATCTACAAGAGCCATTTTCATTTGAAATTTCCAAATGTGATAGTTTTGTCGTCCCTCTAGCTTTTCAACGACTGGATTTCCTGCGGAAGCAATAGTATCGCCGTTAGAGGTTGCATTACTGGAATTTTGGGAGATGACATCTTCGCTAGTTATGACGACTTGATTATGAGTAAAACCGGCCCGTACTTCCAATCATTATTACAAAAATTTCTTTTTATTTGTACATCAAGTGAAATGGCAATAGTAATATTGGGATTTATGATTAGTCAGTTGGTTTAAATGGGTTGGTAGCAACTACCCCAGAAACAATAATAGTGAACCATAAAAAAATTAACCAACCTAACCCAGCTCATTTCTAATGGTAAAATAATTTGACTCTCCAGGCAACAGGGGGTTGAAAGTTTGGTGCAATCATATCTTTTTTTAAGCACTCAAAGACAACTTTGTCCTTGTCAGTTTTTTTTAATGGAACACCCTATATATTCTTTTAGCTTTTCCAAAAATCTTCAACTTTTGGTAATAATGTCCTATACCTACCTATCTCTGATAGTTTTCAACATATCTTGGTTTTCTTGGTTTGTAAATTCTAATGTTAAGTTATAATTTAATAATAACGAGACCACCAGAGGGACATTTTTATGTATAAAATGCAATATTGCAAATAAAAAGGTGCAAATTGTAAAGTGTATAACACCTTGTAAGTAGGTAACAAAGAATTTGCGTAGGTACCTCTGCTTATATGGAATAAAATAAGCCAAAAAATTAATATGTAGGTACATCATATTTTGGAACACCCTGTATACTGCGCCGCCGTACACACATGGCGAAACATAAATAATTTCAATAAAAATCGTCAAAATTAACGAACAATGAGTACTACAAGGAATGGTGACAACCCTCTCACTGAAGAACTCTATGAAAACGATTACCTACTACTACAAAAGCATCAAAGTGTTCAATGCTATTCCAAAGACAATAAAACAATCAAAAATTCAATTATTTAAGCAAAATGTAAAATGCTATCTTCTTGAAAAAAACTACTACTCCGCTGGCGACCTTCCCACTGAACCGGACACAATATCAATTTTAATTATTCTCATTTGTTATTTTTATTGTCATTTTTATGTTTTAGTTGGTTTTTTTATACGTTTCTATTTATGACAATTAACCGGCCTGTGTGGTGCAGTGGTGTGGAAGCTCGACTAAGATACTAAGGGTTCCTGGTTCGAGCCTGGGTTTGAGCATGGATATTTGTAAATGTATGTTGGGTTGGTAAAGCAGCCTTGGCTGAAACCACGCCCACTTAAACATAAAGACAAAAACAAATGTAAAACTCCAGTACAGGGTCAAGGGGAAGTTGCACCTAAATCCAAATTTTTATAGAAGGTGCATATTTTTAATCGAGGGGAAAATCACTGTAGAATTTTGGTGTACACTACTAGTATTTTGTAGAATTTTCTAGGATTTTTTAGAACTTTTTTGAATTGTGTAGAATGTTTCTAGACTTGTTTTCCGAACGCACATGCACGCATGATTATTATTTTATACAATTTCTAGAATTTCTTAATTTTTACAATTTTTAAAAATTTCTTTTAGAATTTTAGTGTAGGTACACAAAATTTGAAGTGGTTTATCCCTTGATTTTAATCAGATAAGAAATGCTTTTGTTGATGTTCTTACCAGACACTGGGTGCTCAACTCAGATCTATTCGGTAAGAATGCACCAAGGAACCTAATAGTGTTGGGGTTTTTTCCATAAAGCAGTCACATCATATAAAAACGCGCCCTATCACTCCTAGTCAATAGCACATACAAGCAGAAAGAAAGTCTGCTCCACTCCTTCAGGCTACCTAAGGTACACAGCAGAGGGAAGAACACACGCGGCCTTCCTCCAAAGCAAAAAGAACAAGACAATAAACATGATTTTATTGGGGTTAATATTGTGCTCCCTCATGCCTATACCATTTGCCTCCCTCCTCAACCCCCAACATGTACAACACGGCTCCTTGCTCTCCCTCTCCGAACATTTTTATTTCTGATCTTAGTAAACACACTGTATCTGTGATTTGTTTGCAAAATGTAGTTAGTAATTTTAAGGACGTCTAACAATTTCCCTGACAAGTTTGTTTTAACATTACCATGACAAATGCAATGCACCCAGGGGCATACACAGGAGGGGGTTTTGGGGATTCAAACCCCCTCCAAAACTTGTTGGGTTGTATATTCACCCGTTCAGTTGTTTTAAGAGCACTAATGCAAAGTGTTGTTTTTGAGAAAGAACTCAAACTCAAAGCTAAAATCGCAAAAACAAAATTTTATTCAAACCATTCCTCCTTATTCTGTGTACGCCCCTGAATGCACATGATTTAAAGTTCTACATACCTGAACCTGATGCAATAGTTACATCTAATGAGCTCAACGTCTCATTAACAGTGTAGGATACTAATTCCACATCACTGGACGAATCAGTTTCAATAATGGGACGAACACGTGACCTCTTTCTAACGATTCCTTTTGATGGGGAAGGTTTACTAGGTGACTTCCTAGCCACAGTTTTATCCTCAGAGGAAGCGCTTAAAATGGACCGCCACTTTCTATGTTGCGACTTTCCACTATCACTTCGGAAATCATCATCATCTGACTCTGTTTCGTAACAAGGTATCTTGAATGGTATCGTTACAGTTTCATCTTCGTTATTGTTAGACATTTTCTTCATACTGCCGCCTGTAATTTTATAAATAAGCAATGAGTCAAAATTGCAAATTGTTACCTTTCTTCTTCCCCTTATTTTGTCCCAATATTTGAATTCTAGAACTGCATACGAAATAGTTACTTATTAACGTTTGCTTAGGTTTCGAAGGATCAGCAGAAAAATACTGTCGAGGCATTTTTTTGCAAATGTATTAAGTAGTAAATGTTATTGTCTCTTATCTGCTCTCTGTACAGATAAGATAAGAGCTGGGAAGGGCAATATTTATTTATGCTATTATTCGCACTGCACGGAATACCAAACAATTGACCATCTGATTTTTGTTTATTTTGACAAAGACAACATAAACGGCGGCAACAAGTAGACTGGCCGCAGTCACGAATACAATTTATTTCGGACGCACTCAAGAATCCCAATTTAATTTTGAATTGTGTGTTTATAAACGAAATTTTAACTTTGCACATACAAATCTGCTGCAAACAAAACGCCTATGTTTAATCATTATATGGTTTAAAATTCTATGGTTTAATCAATCCGAGGTATAAAAGTCAATTCAGTGATACACCTGACGGTTATGCAACCCAACAAACAAACAAAAAATTGTTACGTATTCTGCGGAATTGTTTACCAAATTATAATTATAGTTTGATTATTTGATACAGTATTGCTCATTTGGGCAGTTTAATAAAACACGATTTAAAAAAATCTATTACTAAAGAATAAGTAGTTATCTACATATGTGGGTAGGTACACTAAATGTAACATTTTATACACACTTTACATACCGTATTTGTACTTATATACCCCTTCAAGACCTTGCACAATATCTTCGTTAACTTTTATAAGCCTTTTGACAGGGAATACTATCATAAGAACTTTTATAAATAATATAGGAGGTATCAATTAAAATTTTCAATTAGTAGGTAATCGACTTTTGGATGCCTTCATTCAATTTGTACTAAAAAACACATTAGCATAATTTTATATTAACACAAGTCTGCAAATATGCGAAACCCTAATGATTACGTCCTTCCAAAACAAAAGGCAAAATTAGCTTTCACAAATTCCTGACTTTTGCAGTAAATTGTGCTAAATACCGAACTCAGAAACAAGAATTAAGTAATCTAACATTTTTGTTATACCTATAGAAAGAAATCATAGCAACAGATATTTGCATCGCACCTAATACCACGTGTGGTGAGTTGTCACCCCATCAGCGCATCACTGCAAATTTTGGAATAAATTTGAAAATCCTTAAACTGTTTTCGGCTATTTTTGAAATGAGTAGGTGCCTAACACACTACAAAGAACAATATAACGAATCATAAGCAAGAAAAAATGGCTAAATCAAATAATACAAACAAAAAACTTCAAGCTGGAAATTTACACCACTCAGACCCGGAAGGTTTTCATGTGTTCTTTTTCTTGTATAATTTCATTAACAATACAACCATCAACATGAAATTGTTTAATGCTGTTGTGAACGGTGCCAATTGACGGAATTGGAAAAAATCCCACACACGTCTTAAACTGCGATCATTGAATTACATCTGTACCATTTCAATTTTTTCTTATTTTGTATATTTTATTAATAATACAATAATCTTAATTTAATATATAATTCAGATATTGACATTTATTGAAAAGTTTTTGAAAAACATGAAAGTAGGTACGACTGGTTGCATATCCTAAGAGGCATTTGATTTACTTAGAGTTGATCATGTCATGATTTGTATGTTAAAAGTTAAAATTTACACACTGTAGGTACACGTAGACACTTTAAAAGTATCAAGATACTTGCTGCATGTGTATCTGCAACGTACCTATATACATTTTTTGGATTTAAGAGATCACATTCAAACAGCGTGACTGTGTAGGATTAATCGTGGTAACCATTGTCCCGAGAATCGTTCAGATTTGATGATACAAATTACCATCTCCAATTTTATCCCCGAAATATTTAAAGTTAAATTCAAAGTATTGTATGTCGTATTTCTTACGAATACTTCCGAAAAAAAAGTTTCAGTTTGTTTTCTCAAGCCATGTTTTTTGTCGAGTGTTTTGTTAATACTAATATACAACGGTTAATCTAAACAAATACCTACTTCGTTTGATTTAACGTCTGAGCCGGGGTTTAGTTTGTCAGTTGTCAGTTGTCACAGATCCACCTTTTGAAAGTTGCACCCTGTATATTAGAATTAGATGTACAATGGACCTCGATGGGCTACGAAATATAGGTACCATATATTTTTTATACTCGTATACTTATAGGATTTTATTTTGGTCAGATACAACGTGGTAAACGAATGAACGAATTATATCCATTGAAAAACACTGTACCTACTGACTTTTATCAATCGCTGCGGTTTCTTATCAATTTCCGTTTTTACTCTTAAATTTGACAACTTTTTTGATTAATTATGTGTATACGTGTCATATTTGTTACCTGCTAGGGATCGTATTGTTCTGAAATCGCCATCGGAGCATTTATTATACACATTTAAAATTCGCGGTAGTATGAAAAATGTACACGATTTATTGACCAATGCGAGGGCGGTATTTTGATAAGTCGCACTCTTGCAACTGCGCAGTTAGGTAATGACGTTAGACAGCTGTCAGTTCAACAAAAGCTGTTATTTGCGTAATTTTGGCTAAATAATTCTAATTTTCTTAGTTTTTTTTAAGAAGAAACATGTCTTACGCCTATTTATTTAAATATATAATAATAGGGGATACTGGTAAGTCACCATTTCTCACGGTACATAATTGTATTATTCATCACCATTATCATATTTATAATTTTCGATTATGTTAAACAAAAATAACCAGCAACAATTTTTTTGCTGTGCATTACGAAATGATCGATATTAATAAACAAGGGAAACTTTTGTAGGGGTGGGCAAATCATGTTTACTGTTACAATTTACGGACAAAAGATTTCAACCAGTCCATGATTTAACTATCGGTGTGGAATTTGGTGCTCGTATGATCACGATAGACGGAAAACAAATCAAACTACAGATTTGGGATACTGCAGGACAGGAGGCTTTTCGTTCAATTACACGGTCGTACTATCGAGGTGCAGCCGGTGCTTTATTAGTGTATGACATTACACGTCGTGAAACTTTTAACCATCTCACCACATGGCTCGAAGATGCAAGACAACATTCCAACTCAAATATGGTTATAATGCTAATCGGTAATAAGAGGTAAGGTGTTATTCATTGTCAAGACTTTGTGTATGACTGGGCAGTTTAGTGATTTAGAGAGTAGGCGTGAGGTTAAAAAAGAGGAAGGGGAAGCATTTGCACGTGAGCACGGCTTAGTTTTTATGGAGACATCCGCAAAGACTGCAGCAAACGTCGAAGAAGCGTTCATTAACACGGCCAGGGAGATCTATGAAAAGATTCAGGAAGGTGTTTTTGACATTAATAACGAGGTAAGTCTCGTCTTCGCTGCTCTTGTTCTCAGCGATTATTTTCACAGGCAAATGGAATTAAAATTGGACCACAACATTCACCCACTAATCCGTCATTGCCTGGTACAGGAGGACAAGGCGGATCTCAAGGTGGTGGATGTTGTTAAAACTAAGTTTGGGCTTTGCAAACAGTCTACCGTATTTATTATTATTACATAATTTAGTGAGGTATTCTAAAATTGACCTTTTAGACGCATAACGTATCATCATTTGTATTTACAATCTTATTGTAACTCACTAATTTACGTAATATTTTATATTATTGTGATTTTATTTCATGTGTTGTATATTTATGTAATAATAGCAAATCTTTCCTTATAGTCAATTGTTTTCGTTTACAAATACATATATTGGTACGAATATATCACATTTACTTTAGTTCTATTATAAGGGTTTGTTTTATAAAGCATATTTTATGACTGTAATGTGGAGATGTAGCATAAGTTGCGAATTATTTTTTTTGAAATTTGATGATCCGTGAATGTGTGAATGTATTTTCTTCTAAACAGTTGCTTAATAAATTGTTTTAAGTCATTCTAATTTTCTATGACTTGTACAGGGGGAGTCCACGGTTGTGCGGAGTAATTAATCGATGCCTTGAAGAATTTTTCGATAGAGTGTTTTTGTGAGATACAGTTGAATATTCAATTATACAAATATTTTGGATTATACAAGCAGCGTCTACAAAGTAGGGCGCTGAAAAGTAACATCTTTTTAATGGAACCCCCGTATTTGACTACATTTGAAGTTGAAGTGCAAAAACATTCTACACGGGCGAAATGCTTGGAGGAATATTCCTCTAACCATTTCAACACATTGCTCATTTTTCATCAAGATTGCTAATATATTATCTTCGTATGTATTTTAAGCTTATACGCCATTAACATTCTCTATTTCCGTTCCGCAACTGCAGGTTTAGACTTTCCATCCCAACCACATCTGTTTTATTCTCTGAGTGCATTATCATCATCGTTTTTGGCATTCTTTATATGCTTTCATTCCCTCTTCAGTATTCTGTTGCTGATATTTCCTTCATCCTTTTTTTCAAATTGCTAGTGTTATCCATGTCTACATTCTTTTTCTCTTTTTGCATCATCTCCAGCTCGCTGGGAGGTATTTTAAATATGGATATCCCCGAAAAAAGTTTGTAAAAATTTGCCTAGGATTTTAAAGAATACTAAAATAATTAGCTCTTCGAGAATCTTGAATCAAAAGCGTTTGATTACTTGTTTTCCTTCCCCACATTCCAAAGCAGTATTTCTGCTTATTTTCCCGAATCTAGTGGATTATCCGTGTCTTGGAAACGACAGCCATAATTAGGTATAGATACATTTTAAGACCTTTAGGTCGTGTCCTCTATTTAAGTTTCCCAACCGGCTGCAACTTGGAAATGTTGAAGATGAATTTATTTTTCTGTAATTTGCGAGTTACTTGAGTTCTCAGGACTGAAGGGTACATGATAGGTATAACTCCATTCGAGTGACTTTCGGTCTTAATCCTGTAAGAGATTAAATTTGAAGAAAAAAATAAGTGTAGGTAATTCAAGCTGTGGCACACACAATTCGGTCATTAATAGGTACTTAGCTAATTAGCCTAATAAACCATCAATAAACAGAGTGATAACAAAGAGTATTTTGGCGGTGATGTGGAATATATGGATTCCTCCAAGGACGTTAAGGTATTTTTAACGTCCTTGGATTCCTCTGTCTGAGACATGACAATACTGTACGAAGAGAAAGAAGAAACCTGACAATACTGTAGTATCCATTACTACACATAACCTCAAATTAATGGACATTTTCTCCGCATTAATTTAAACAATAAAAACTTTATGGCTTTATCTGCAGCTAGCAAATCATTTCTTTTGCTCGGCGAATGTGTTCCCTGCCTGAAACACAATGCTTCCAAGTTTAAAATAAGACGATTCGAACTGGACACTAACTTGTTAATGGTAAATCTAGCCCCCTTTCAATATAATCCTAAACCAAAAATTTAGTATTTCAGGAAAGTGGACTTTGTTTATGCTCTTGACCCTGAAAAGAAATGTAAAACAGGCGACATAGTGCTTATTGAGAAGTGCCCGGAACAGTTGACACGTTTAATTACACATAAAATAAACCAAATAGTTTATCCTCTGGGGGATGTTGTAGATCCTTTGACAGGTAAACGAGTTGTCGGTGGCAAATTTAGAGAGCACACGGAAGCAGTCAATCAAGTATATGGCAAAATGCCTACTGCATTTGAATACGATTCAGCTCCAGACAGAGGATGGTTAGAAGATGTAAAGGACTTCAGTCATGTGGACACTTATGTTAAGTACCACGAAAGTGGAGAAGATCAACCACATGCAGTGTAGCCTTCAAATTGTTAATAAAGTAGTTTATTGAGCAGAAAACTATTTCGTTTTATATAACTTATGTTCATAAAAAAAAATTATTTAAAGCTTCAATCGAGTTACAACTTGCAAGTACCATTTGTATGTTCAACAATTATCAAATAAATTACAACATATAATACTGTTCATCGCCTAACATAATTTAAAAAAAACATATTTACACAATTACTTAATTTGATAAAAATTCTCTTTCTAACGCTGCACCCATCATATTCCATTCACCGTCGTCGATTTCATCTGGTGCCTCCGCACTACCTTCACTGTTAGAATCTTGACCAATATCTAAGTCACTATCTAATTGCTCTCCTCTACGAAATTTGGTACTGGGAAATTCGTCTTCACTTTCTTTCAATTCTTCTTCGTCCTCGTCGTTGCGTTTATCGATATTCCGTTTGTGTCCCCTTGGCATTTCCGCCGTTAGCGATTCCCCCGAACTACTGCTACTGTCTTCTTTGTCGAATGTTTCAATAGGCAGTGGTGCTTTTTTTGTAGCGTCCTCTTCGCTTTCACTTTCCGTGTCCAAAGTATCCTCTACTTCCTTACCCATATCCTCAATGTCGGCTGTTGAAAATGACATCAAGGGATTTATAGTATCCATAAACCTTCCACTAGGCGACCGTTTTCGTTGCGCAGGCGTATCGTGGATGCTATAATTGGGATTGTGCTCCGGGCTACTGCAGTGAGGTGGAGGATGTCGATTTTTTGAACCCTTGCTGTTTAAGGGGAATATTTTTTCTTCAATGCGCTCCCATCTTTCAGCACACGCCCACAACCAGTCGGGCGTTACAATTTTCAAATTTTTTCTTCTTCTGCCAGCGTTCACTTTAGCTGTACCGGGACGAACAGCAACTAAATGGGTTGTGTCCTCTTCGAAATCCTGTTTTACGTCAGCTCCTAAACTTTTTGCCACTTGGTATGCTCTCGAATGTTGTAATTTTATATGGGTGGGTACTAAACCACTAAACACCATCTTACAACCTTTTAAAACTTGTCCCTTTACGTTTGGTATTACCTTCTTTAAATCTGGAACTTCTCCAGAATCTAATTTATCATATTCTTCATAAAATGCTTTATGTATCCTTATCAAGATATCTTCTAAATATAACAAGTAATCATCAGGATCCTCAACTTCAATAACGTCTATGGCATTTTCATTTTTCCTTTCTTCTGTTCTTTCTTCGGGTTTGTTTTCAGTTTTCTCATCCGGTGGTTCCTTTGTTTCTTCCACATTAGAATCCTTTTGTGATTCGCCATTTTCACTTATTTTTTCACTGTCTTCATTTTGGCTAAATGCTTCCGTTACAGTTGTCTTATCACAGTTTGGTAAATTCTCTTCATCATTGCCATTTTCTTTGTCCACTTTAGGTGTAATATTGGAGAGATCAATACCATCTTTTTCATCATGTTCGTGTTTTTCAAGACCAGGCGGTGCATTTATATCACCTGTATGTTTGAAGAAGTGATATGGTTTAACGTGGATTAAATTTGTAGCATGCGACCACACATCTTCCCTATCATCTATGATGCACACCATATGGTCACCGCATGGAAAAAGTGCTCTGAAAATATGAGTTAGTATAAAAAAATGTTACATTTTTACAAAAGGAAGCCATATGATAGTTCAAGACCATATAGCATGAAATACTCCAATAGAATAAACATTTTTTGAGATGACTTTCAAAGATAATTTTAAAATTCCATTTTTTTTCATTCTGCGAGCACCTCAGATTAGGGAGAATAGTTGTCAAGGCAACCATTTTGTTGCTTAGAGGTCCTCCCACCCTCTCTTCTCACTTACACCCGCAACTTTAAGCAGTTTCATAACTCAAGAAGCCAGGCGAAACGTAAAGCCAAATTATGTGATTTAATGCATGGCAGAAGAGAAAAAAACACACACCCTCTCTCCAAAAAATTGAAACCAATTTTAAGTTATTTTAAAAATTTTTTATATGTATATACAATATGTTCATATGTAAGAAATAAATATTAATTTGGATTATCTGTGCTCCACCTGGTCCCGTGGAGCACGGATAATTGCGTGCTTTGGTGCAGAATCTAACACTGCTTAAATTTTTTTTATTTTTTGTGGAAGATGATTTTTGAAAAATAAGTACTTGAAAACAATTAAGTGACCTTTTTTTCCCTTACAAGCTGACCTTGATTATTATATTTGAAATTCAAAGTTTTGTGATCGTGATCCACTACCCAAAAAGGATCTGATGGATTGGAGAAGAAAAGGAGAAGCACTGCCAATAAAGGTCAGGGTTTGTCAGTCGACAAGAAAGGTGATCATGGCTACAATCTTTTGGGATTGTGAGAGCATTCTTCTTATTGACTTGAAGGGGGTGTTTTAACTCACTCATTACATCTAGATTTAGTTATATGTATAGTGCCCCCTAAACAAAAATAACTAACTCCCTTCAATCATTAGAATTATAATATTATGTCATAACTTTAGAATGTACGTCATTTACAACATGAATGATCCCTGATGTATAACTCACACAGTAACCAAGTTACTCAAATTAAGTTTAGACGTGATGGATTTCAAAAGTAAGAGTTACAGTCACTACATTGGCAAAAGTAAACTCTTATAGTGCACAGCTCTGCTACAAATTAAACAAAACAACAGAAATTCGAATTGCACCACCTGCAGATACTTACTTTAAATTGGCAGTTTTACTAGTGGGATTGAAGCACTCATCCCTAGAAAGCACTCGATTGGAAAAGAATCTTTCATCTGCATCCAAAATTGCTGTAATTCGATGGGCATAGTTCCTTGCGCCGAAAGTACATATGTGTAACTCAAAGTAAGGTGAAACCTTATTTAAAAATTGATGTGTACCAGGCCTCAGCCTAGTGTGATACCATGGAGAATTAGGTCCGTACAATTGGAAATGATATACATCTTTTAAGTTTGGTGGAATAATATCGTTTGTTGTGTGAATCAGAGTTTGATCTAAATCGACCAACAGAACTAGTTTCTTGTCACGTAACAATCTTTCACCATCAGCCTTGCCAAGTTTCTGCGCGAGCTGCAAAACTGTAGATATTCTGATCTGAACTCGAAAAATACCTAACGATTTTACCTCTTCGCTAACTTTTAAATCAGGTACCGTGTGTATCATAGGAACAGAAGCGGTGGAATTTAAATCGTCCTTTCGTAGATCGGCTCCGCATTCTGCACACATGTCTTTCATAACAGTGGGATGTATGCATGCTTCTAACTCAAATAAAACTTCTCTGAAATATGAGAAACATTAATTAATTTTCCCGCTTAAAATTGAATTGGACTTTACCCTGGAGGGATTATGGCGCCTTCCTGCGCGATCAGTTTGCAAACTGTTCCAGCCTGTGGCGACTTAAACTTACGTTGTTGCTTTATATCAACCTTTTCAAAATCGTACAGAAATACCACAGTACCGATTGATATGGTAAAACCTTCCCTAACTTTCCATTTTGAAATTTTTATAGGTTTTGTATTCTGCTGTGAAATAACCACAGTTTTTTCGGCCATGTTGAACGGATACGGAAACATACGTCGAAACCAAAAGCAAAGCTCTGATTGGATCTTTATGTAACAGTCGTTTACCGCGAAAATTTTCGATTTTGTTTTAGAGAATGTTAGTAGCCAATTAAGCGTAACTACATTTATTTCTTCTCTATTATCGACATCTTAAACTTTTTGCTGCAGAGGTAAAATGTTCTAATTGTCAAGCCTGGGTATCCACAGAGAGATGCCAAGGGGTACCATTTAAAATTGGTAGTATTCAAGACCGGGAGGATCCTCAGTGATCCCGTGTCTGAGGGTTTTACCATTTTTTTTCTTGATCACCTGTGTACCAAATTTTGAAACACTTGGCAGCATCTAAAAAACCGCAGACGGACGGACAAACAATACAAAACTAAAATTATAAACGATGCTTATGGCGCCGTTTGCCCATTAAATTAAAACTGGTAGCCATTAGCGCAACAATTGTTACCATGTATATCTAAAATGAATGGGGTTGGAAATTGTCTCTAAAGGCAAAGGAGGCTACAAAGACTATTGCAAATGGATGGGGAAAGCACTGGATAACCACACCCCATTAAAGACCCATGTACTAAGGGTTGTGCTTATACGAAATCATGAAGTCTCTGTATGTTTGTAGTGGACCAAGCCAACCCGACCCACTATTAATGCCAAAACTAGGATATGACCTAGGACCTTCTTTATTATAGCTGATCTCATGTGAAGATATAGTAGGTGCAAAGTGGAATAATTCGAAAACTATTTAAGTAAATGAAAAAAAAATAAATTAGAGGTTTATTACTGAGTAAATATATAAAGTAAATGTACTTGTAAACTGGTAAACAGAATATCTGAAATAAAATTGTTCATTTAGAAAGTGGATTTTTTACTACTAAATCACAGCCATGATACTCAATTTGATCATATATATATTTCCGATTGCATCGACATTCGGGACCACACTTTTGCGATTTACACTTAGGACATGGAAAATGACATCCAGGACACGATTTCTGTAGACAATCACAAAGATCTACACCAGACACTATGTGAACACCATATTCATCAAACAAAGCACCAGGAATTCGCCGAGTTGGAATGATTTGGTTGACTTTTCTTGTTAATTTTCTTCTTTCCCTAGCACTACTTTCCGGGTCGAAATTTTCTAGAAATCTGTCTTGCTTCTCTTTATTAGCTAAAGCAACCTGCCGACGGGTAACTGCAGCAGTTTGTTTTATGTCTACAACTGAAGTGGCGGTCGACTTTTTTGCTATTCTCTTCTCCACAACAGGGGCAGGTGCAGGCTTCCGACGTTCCTCATCACTGTTGTCTGAATCTAATTCCACAACATCTGAAAGACCAATTAGCTTTAATTTCGATGTGTGGTAAGCTAACATCACAGAATTACTTTTATCTGAAGACATCACTGTTTAGAAGCAAAACAAACAGGAAGTATATGGGGGTGATACAAACACCCTACAAAAGAGGGTAGTCGAAATTTATACTATGCCTCCCAAAAATTAAAAAATATCCGGTAATTCAACTACTTGAAGTGAGCGACGGTTAACGGTTAGACGTTAATGGAGGTGGATCGTAGGCCAAACTCTATATATACGGTGAGTCAACGATTGCGCGGATTTACTATGCACGTATTCTCCGTAGGAACTTAAGATGGCTCAAAATAAAAACAGTTCTAAATCCCTTTTTCGCCTGCACCTTAGAATTTGTACCAAATTAGAAAAAGATATAAGGCGGTGTGAATGTTAAGATACATTTTGAATCTACTCCACATTAGGTCCACATTTAATTTATGTTATATGCGATATTATGTTACACCCTGCAGGGAAGCTAGGAACGATAAAGCACATATATTCTGATTTAATCCCCTAGACATACTTTCCCCCTATTTTGCGATTTGTATTCTCCAATCTTAGCCATTGAGGAAAACTAAGTTTTTATTTTCAAAATATCCATGCTATTGTGCGGTGTTATTGGTTAAATTTTGTCGATCAGGTATGAACTTTCGAGCAGATAGGGATGATCGATATGCCATACTATCATTGAATAAGGACTTATATTCATTGATACCATTGTATATTATATACATATACATAAAATGATACTACTTTTTTACACTGGCTAATTTATGTCTGGACGCCCCTGTGTAAAAGCAAGAGGGCGGTACTTTCGTGGGACGTTTCGAAACTGACTTCAGGACAAGAATATGACATGTTTTGACAAAACAGAAATAACCTTCTTTTACCACTTTTCTAAAAGTTTTCCGTATAGTTAATTAAATAATCTTCACGAACGATGTAAATTGTGTAAACGGTCTAATTAGGCGATCTAATTAAATTGTAACGTTGAGTTAAAATGTTACAAAGAAGCCGATTTTTACTTGATCTGGATTTGCAATTGTGATATAAGATGTGACATCTTTCCGCAGTAATGAATTCGTCTGATGGGTTTGCATTAAACAGAACAGTAGAGGATGCTTCTCCAAGTGAACTGTCGACTTCGGATAGTAATGCCAATCTCAACAACAGCCATCAAAGCAAAGGTGCAATACCGAAGATTCGACAAACCAAGCCGAATTCGATATCAAAGAAATCTGTAAAGCTTAACAATAATGAAGAAATGTTGATTCCTAAAAATGGTACCGATATCGCAGAAAAGGTCTATCAGCTACACTCGGATATATTGAGATTTAATGGATATTCGCCGTCCACAGTGTCGCGAAATTATTTAGATGATTATAAAACTGTGTATAGATCTGGTAGTGCTAATTGCGAAGTTAACAATTCGCAAAGTGATGATAACGATGAGAGTATCGACACAAACAGTTTTTTGGAACAGCCTCAAGTCGTTGTGTACCAGCCAAGTTGTAGCTCTAAAGATGATTTAAACGTGTTGTTAAAGGCAGAGACGGAAAGCAACTGTAGTGACGAAACTGAGCTTCTTTCCATATCAGATGACGGATGCATTTATACTTACAAAGGGGATCACGTTGCCGACCTCCCCAGCTCTTTCTTTAGTTTGGATGTACCGCTCGCAAGAAGTCCCGAAGTTCCAGCGAATAGGCAAGACAATGCAAGCCCCGAGATGGATTTTCTCGAAATGGATTTTGACCCGGGACCATCGGGAGATGCCGATTCCGATTCGCAGTCCAATGCGGATATGGAAAATACGGAAAATTTGCCACAGGATCCAACATTTTGTGGTATGAAGGATGCGTGCGATTTTAAAGTTTGCGATGACAGACCCACTTCTGCAGAACCAGCATTTTCTCATCTGAGCATTGAGTAAGTATCTAATTTGTCAAACAAAGTGTGTATTAGTGCAAGATTTTTTATTGCACATTGTTGTAAATGTGTTTAGAAACACTAACTAAAACATAATGAATGAACACTCTTCTAAAGTTCCTTTAAATTTAAAAAAACAAGGGCCAGTGCTTTCACAATGTCCTACGATATCCTACATCGTGGGTAACCATTGGGTCCACAGAAACTAGCCAGACAGTAGCCTAATCAGTTTGTGAAGGTACTGGTTCTAAACATAGCAGAAAGTGTAGCAGTACCATATATTTTTGATAGTAGGCCTGTCAAAAAGCCAGGAATAGTGGGGGCACAACATATAAAATTACTTAGATGTATTTTTCCTCGTCGTTTTTCACTGTGGTTCTAGAATTTTAGATAGTGCCAATTGCATCATGGATTTTTTCTAGAAGGACATCTTGTATTTTTTTGGTTCATTGATCACATCAAGGTAAAATACATTCCATCAATAAATAAAATGCTAAACCAGGTGCCGAGGCAGTTGTATTTTTCTCAAATAATAAAAATAGTTTATATATAAAAAAATTCTTATTTTATAATCTACCAGCGGCGTACCAAAAAAAGTTCAGCGATATAAAATTGAGTACAAAACACCCTGTAGATTATTACTACCATTGACATGACCAATGATGTAAGTCCTTTAGGGTAACTTATATTTCAAGTATGAGCTAAATGTCTCAAAATCTTCATGATATATAAAGAAAAAACTTAGATATTTAATCATAAAAACCTGTAGATCGGTAGATAGCGTTCGCGAACCTATGTTTATTTGAACCTTTATGCATAAAATAAGCCAAAGAATTAACTGTACATAATATTTAGGAACACCCTGTGTAATAAATTCAGATATAGGCAGGAAAATTTTTCAAATACAACATAAGTAGGTGCCACTATAATGCGGGTGATTAATATTTGCTGCCCCTGTATTTTCGAATTTTTGCAACTATATTTTTGTAATAATTAATTTAATTTATTTAAAAGTGACCACGACACGCCTCTTGCAATCCCACCGGTGATGGAACCTGAAGATGGAAGCATGGTGTTAAGCATAGAAGGTGATTGTTCATCTACTGGCCATGAGGATAACGAGACTCTTGAAACGACGTCATCCATCACTGAAATGATTAAAAAAATTCCAAAAACGCCCTGGTCGTGTACTTTGTCGGAGCGTAGTACTGCCTCAAAGTACACCTCACGTTACAGTAGGCGTTTGCATTGTACTCTCGGTGAATTCACTTTACCTACAGAAAAAGTGTCTTCGCCCAGTGATGACTATCCCTCCTCTGTAAGTAATACTACCGCACATTGCTCTAACAATAAGAAAACGAAGGGAACAATGATATGGACAGAGGAAGAAGCTAGCAAAAAGCAAATCACCCAAATTGGAGCGTCTGCTTGTGGCGCTACCGCCGTGCTGAACGTTTTAAACGCTCTCAGGTTGCCCGTACCACCAATCGAGAAGGTACGCGACGCTGTCAGGACGCGATTGCGTTTAACCGGTGGCACTCTAACAGAATACCTTTTATCGAGAAGTGTCGCCGGCAGTACGCATCTCGACCTAATTAACGGTTTAAGTGTGCTTTCGGAGGGAGAAATTTACGCGCGTTTTTTTCATCTGTATCCGGAGCGCTTAGTCAATTTAAACGAGTGGTTACAGTTTTGGATATCGCACGGCGCGGTGCCGATCGCGACGTTAAATTTACAAAAGACGCACGGAACGATCCCGGACGCCTGGCATCATCAAATGATCTACGGTGTGGGAAAACGCGAGATATATTTTACTAATCCTTTGGAATGCGTCGATATAGGACAGTTGTGGCCTCAACTATCATCGGAGTCAGTTTTGTTAATTCGAAAAGAGGACGTATTAAGTCGGTGGAATGTAAAAACAGACCTTACTGAACTTATGAACGCGAGCAATGAGAGGTGGTGCAGTTTAAATGTAGTTGGTAAGTAGGCATTTTCAGTTTAAGTTGGAGCAATAATTGAAAGTTTAAATTAATTTAATACACTTCAACAATTGATATATTTTTTTTCTGATTAGGACAAGTTGCTAATATGATTCGACAAAGTAGGAAAGAACCTAGACTAGGATTCACGAGCACAAGCCACATCAAAATACCTGCCGCATATCTATCTGGAATTACGTTAGCCATGTCAAAAGACGCACCTTTGTTACCTATTCTAATGTTTTGTCCAGAATTACCTTTATTACCCTCCAAAGATGAAGCAGTCGGTTATTCTCACAGCGCCCATTAAGCAATACAATAACAAATCAAAATTATGATATTTAAGGTAAATTATTTTTAATTATAGAAAAACATATTATGTTAAAATTATGAGCATGCAAGAAATGGTAAAATTATGTCGGAAAATTTGAAAATTCTTACAACCAAAGATATTTACACAGACAATTGAAAAGACAAGTGATATTGGTTGCATTATAAAGTGCAAAGTGACATTACTGCTTGTACATATCAATTATATATTAAACTATGGCATCGTCGACAGTTATCGCTATATTTGGTAATATTGTATCATCCATTAACAATTTCCATATAGATTTTGTACATATGTAAAACTAAAGGTCACTGTGTTATATTTATATTTTCAATATGTACGCTAATAAAATATTTACAACAAGAATTTCTTAGTATATTATTTATGTAAGATATAAAGGCAGTAGGGTCATAATGCGCTATGTCCGCCATGTTTTTCCAATGAGCTGGTTTAACTGAATTCATAGATTTTGCTATGGTTACAATAATATTGCCACAATTGTTTCCACCAAGTTGAATTGAGCACTTTAAGTTCAAGGTTAATATCTACTAATCCTGCATATTAAGGCTGTATGACGCTATGCATTTTGTTACATCGTTTCTAATATTATTTCTGATACCTATAGAAAATGCCTTATATTTTCTTGTATTGTTTGTTGCATGTAAGTTTGTAACCTGTATAACACTATGCAAATATTTGTCCAGGAAATTATATCAAAATCGGCACGTGATTGGTGGAGATTGTATGTGGCCCCCTACAAACATACCAGTTGGTCGTGTAAGATCAGGAATAACTGATTGTGTATTTCTTATTTTATGTGTTGCTATAACAAAATCGTCCTTCGTATGACACCAAATAAAAAATTTCTACCTCAAACTATACGGAACTACGAAAATTAAGAACCATAAATAAATCACCTCTTTATTTATGAATAAAAATAACAACATAATCCATATAATCGAGGTTGCGTTAATACGCTTTTGCGCAGAAATGGGCGCGATTTTGGTACAAGAAACTGCACATTCTTATTTCAATCCGGCAGAACATCTTTCATTTCCTTATTCATTAGTATCCCCGCCAGAATTCCAGAAAACCCGTTTCTGTAGGAAATATTCACAGATTCTTATTTTTGTAGCATTCTAATAGGTAGATAAAACCACTCTCCTCTTTGTACCTCCCATTATAATCAAAACAAAAAAAATCGTAAGTGTTCGTTAAGAGTATTAATTGATGTGCTTTACACATACCCCTGTCCCTTTATGAGTACCTCTTCCGACACTTCGTTTTGAAGACATTCGCCTCGACTTCCCCAATAGATATGTCTCGTCCAGACGGATTCATTTTGCCTTTAAGGATGCTTTCCTCCGACAAACCGTTTTTGAGATATTCCCTCTTAAAGTTTTTACGTCACCAATGAATATATTTCTTCCAGACATCCCAATCGCCCTTTGTGAGTACTCTCCTCCGACATTGTGCCCTTCAGATATAAGGAATTATATCTGCTCACAATAAGGGGTCGAGGAGGGGGACTTTGATAGGTAGAAATTAATTTCTTTTGTCGAGACCTTTCGTTAAAATACCATCAAATATAAAACCAGTCCCCTCGACCCTCCTCTTTTGATAAGGGACAAGAAAAGAGAACGGTAGTTGGTAGGAAACAGTAAAAAGATAAGACGATTAATGACTTTTTCAAAGATAATTTGTGGAAGTCCATTTTAATTGTTCAATTTTTAATAGTACGTGCTTAATTCAATAAAATAGTAATGGCTTTAGGTCCCTTATAAACAGTACATACTGTAGTTTCCTAACTCCTAACCTCAGATTTTTCTTTTTATGTTCCGTATAATTCAAGTTTTTCACAATCTGAGGTACCTTGTACTGGGATTCCACTTTACTCTCCTCCAACAAACCGTTTTCGAGATATTGGCTCTTAAAGTTTTGACATCACAAATGGATATATTTCTTCCAGACGTCCTTTGCCCTTTGTGAGTTGGCATAGTTGTTCAGGTAGATAATTGCCGACCCGCGTGGCGCAGTTCAGTTATAGCTGGACTGTGGTGCCTAGGGTCCCTGATTCACCGCCCACTCAACAATAAAGGCAAAATTTAAAAAAATCTCACGCATGACATTAAAAAGAGATTTGATTGTTAGTTGTAGATGGTGTTGTATGACAAAAACTACACGCATATATTACCATGGTTTATTTTTATTGTAGGGTTTATGAACTTGAAGTTACTGTCCATGTTTTCTTGTTTTGTTTCCAGAGGTCGGTCGGTAGGGACCATCGGAATCGGTCGTCGCGTCATCAGGCATTTGCAGTCCCAAAGGAGTTTCTTCGTCGGTACTACCAGCGCGATTTTTGTCTCGTGGTAACGCCTCCGCTTTGAGCTGTTCTTTTGTCAATAAGTTGGGTACGAAAACTTCGGGCCCGCCCACTGCTCCAGCGCTTTGATAGCCACCTTCGGAATCCTACATCAACCTTTAAGCAATAAAGCTACAGCACTAGATGCTCACCGATGATTGTCTACTCGTGCCAGGTTTATCACCGGGAGTGAAGCTGTACCAAGAGTCGTTTCGTATTCCGTTCATTTTTACCCTAGATTTTAAAGGTGCTAAAATTTTTATAATCAGAGCTTTGCATGTCATCGTCACTTTGGGATCTCGTGGAAAATTAATTTTACTGGAAACTTGCTGCAAGAGAAAACTGCACCATTACTTTTATGCAACTTGGACAAATACCTTGAGTAGCAAGTTGTAGTTAGCGTCGTCAAATGGTAATCTGCCGAACACCATGGCATACAGTACCACTCCCATTGACCAAATGTCGGATTGTTGCGGTTGATAGGGAACACCTCGTAAAATTTCTGGGGAGGCATATGCATAACTTCCACAAAACGTTTCACTGTATGGCAGTTGTCCATGTTTGGGTTTAAGATGTCCTCTAGCAAACCCAAAATCGGAAAGTTTGATATTAAATGCTTTATCCATTAGCAGATTTTCACATTTAATATCTCTGTTGGACATAGTGCTGAGACTTCTGTGAATGAGTATTGCATAAAATTTACCTGTGGACAACTCCTCTCTCGTGACAATAGTCGACCGCTTCAAGTAGTTGCCGAAACCATTTTCTTGCTCTGCCCTCATCGATATAAGAATCTCGTCGAATAATATCTAACAAACTTCCATTTTCTGCGTATTCCATAACAATATACACCCTACATTTAGTAATAAGATGTATAAATGTGAACATACGATTATCAATACTTGCCGATGGGTTGTTTCAATAGCTTGTAAAAATCTTATTAAATTAGGATGCTTGAGTCCTTTTACAACTTCGATTTCTCTTGGCAGAAACTTTTTTAAATAGTCTGTCGGAGCAGTGAATTTGCTTACAATTTTGACTGCAACGTTCCCATCGTGTCTCTCACTCTGAGCAACCTTATAGTCCATGAAAACAAAGACGTACTATTCAAATATGAACTACTTTCTTCGTTAAATTAGCCTTACCCGCACTGTCGCGTAGGAACCCGAACCTATGGTTTTTCCCAAGTAATATCCGTGAGTTTCGAGAACGGTTAATCGTCTTTCCCCGGTAGTTTCAACTCGGGAAGTGTGCGAGTGTGGACTGGCAGCGGGAAGTTGATTTAAACTAGTTATTGGGGAAGGCATTTTATTTGTAGCAAATTATGCCATGATGTTAAGAAATTTTTATTTTTGACTTGTATAAATTTTGACAGCTAAGGATCAAGCGCTCTTTTTTTTTTTTTGCAGATTTGTGACAGGTATGACGGCATGATGACTTCAGAATTAAATAACGGTCTCAGATAGTCCCCGCCGAAATGAATCCTTTATAAAGGCTATAGGTCCAAGGAAAATTTTATTTCAACAAATCTAGTCCCCAAGGGATCAATCTTAGTAGCACTCTCCCTTGAAAATTTACATTTGGTCTTTAAATTAACTGACTAAAATTATATGGAAACTATAAAAACCTTGCCATGTTGAAAAGCAATTTCCAGCCGTTGAAAAGATAGGTAGATTTTTCCCCCACCATCACTAATGATATGCATTCTTCAATCGCGGTGATTAAATGCAAAGCTAATTCTTACCCCAAACTCCACTAGTTTCCAACAACGATTATTTTCAATACGTATTTTGTCTTCAGAAACTTGTACTTGGCGTGGTTTTCCGATTCCGGTTTTTCAGCAGCAGACCCAATGTAGTGCATAGTGGAGGGCAGATATAAGAAGCTAAGGCTTTGAAATATTTTCTAGTAGGGTCTTCTGAGTCAAGACATGGATGGCGTGGAGTACTCCAGGCGGACTGGATCCCTTGTTACTCCAGGGGTGGTAGTTCAAGAGTCATGTACTCTTTCCAAAGCCTAATTCCATCAACTTGTTTCAGGCTTACAGGATTAATGCCATAGGGCAGGAGGGAAGAGACTCGTGGTGAAACACTAGACCGAGGCCAAGTAGCATGGGATGGCTAGATCACTTGAATGATTGACAAGCCACCTAACCCGAAGAGAGGATTGTGGCCATGCAAGAATCTTCACTCTGTTTAAAATGGTGGAGTGTATCTTCATTAATCGTAGTAGCGAGTGATCACCAAGCATGGATGGAGTGGATGACGATTTAATTCGTACAAAGTGGTTGTGTGTACCTTCAGAACGAGAACCAAGGCGTCGTGTAATCACATTAGGGAAAAACGACTTTCATTTGTTTGCTGAATTTTGCGGGAGTTAGCACAGGGGAGCCAGAACATATTTCCATCGAATAGCAATCGAACATTTCAGAAAAGTTGGGTGAAATTTTGAGATTCTTAGAGATCCAGGAAATCGTTAGATCCTCTAAGGAGTCCACTATTGGAAGCACCATTTATGCGGTCTACCCTCTCTTCTTAAGGCAATATATAGGTAATCTGCTCAATGCTAGAATTTATTTCTTTTGTGTGGGCCAGTTTTCTTGACGGACAGTTTTCTGGGGATACATTTTCAGAGGATTTTTTATTCTAGAAATTGAAAAGAGTTCTAGGATTCAAATATTGGGTTTTTGCATATTTTTTACAGTGCAGATCGAGGTCTCATTTTGTGACACAAATGGAACTGAGCACAGGGCAAATATTTTAAGGACAAGGCTAATTTTTGCCTTTGGTGCCGCTGCTGAAGTTTCTCAGAAGAATCGGCTAAATTCTCTACCCACTATATATACTCCTTGATTTTCTGCAGCATTGTACAAGACTCAATATAAAGACTTTATCTAGATAAAAAGCTGTGAATTTAAGCACTTTTGAAGAATCTCTAGCGAATCTCTGAAAATGTGTTAAAATGTAAGGGTTAATATAGTGAATAAGAGGGGTAGTAGGTATATATAGTACCTATGGTAAAGGCTAAGGAAACCTTTCAAACATGTATTTCTGAAAGATTTCTAAAAATCTTGGAGAATCACCTGAAACTGAGGTACCCGATCTATATTTGTTATGAGATTCCGAGAGCGCTCCACCACCTGATGCTGTCTAGCATTGTGATAGTACCACAATGATATGCAGGTCATTTTGAATATAGGCACAACATTTATGAGGCAAAGAATAGTTTGACATGAGCCCAAAATTTGAAAAAAACTTCATCACAATAGGTATAGATTACACAGTTCACATTTAAAATCCAAGGATCCAAAGCTATTAAGGTTATGTTGCATGTATCTCCATGGTATGTAGCTGTGAACTCTGAGGACTTCACTACTCTGTAGACTAAGAAGATGTCTTGCCAAATCATAGAAATAGATGGTTCTGTTTTAGAAGGAGTAAGTATAATTAATGTTAAGTTTATATTAATTAGCGGCTCTAACAGGGTGGACAAATTTTGAGAATTGCCGTGACATTGAGCGTCCTGCTTAGGCAGCCAATTCGTGTTGTAAAAATCCGAGCAGGTCGAAGCAAACCTGGCCTAGCCGAGCAACATTTAAAAGGTTGTATAATCCGATAATTCAAAGTGTTTACGAGTATCGTTATAGGTTTGGAGTTGGTGACCAAAATTTGTAATGGCAAATTAAAAGGTGGTTCAATCGGTTCAACCGAAATTGAGCTTTGGCCTGGTAAAGTCAGTGGTGGAAATTATAGTGCTCTTGTGAAAACGGCAGGTAGTGTGAGCCTTCTGCTTCAAGTAGCTTTGCCATGTACTTTGTTTGCCAATTTGGACACCACGCTCACATTAGAAGGTGGAACTAATGCAGACATGGCTCCACAAATTGATACCACAACGGAAGTGTTTCGTCCACTTCTGGAAAAGTTTGGGGCTACATTCGATTTTGATTTAATTAGACGTGGTTACTTTCCTAAAGGAGGTGGGAAAGTGATTGTACGCATTAAACCTGTAAGACAATTGAACGCTGTGGAGTTACTAGAAACGGGCCAAGTTACATCAGTCTATGGATGGAGTTACGTCGCCGGTACTTTACCCATTCATTTATCACACACCATGGCAAATGCAGCATCTGAAAAGCTAAGTCAACTCATAAGGAACGTTCAAATTGAAAGGTACAAAGAAGCAGCTGATGTTGCACCCGACAATGGCTCAGGCATTATGTAAGTGAAACCTCTTCTTAGCTTCTTGGTATTAAACTTTTATCACAGAGTAGTTGCGGAAACTTCTTCGGGGTGTATTTTTGGAGGATCTGCCTTAGGAAAACGAAATGAGAAACCGGAACAAGCTGGATGGAGAGCTGCCGAGGAAATTTTGAGATCTGTGTCGCAAGGAGCATGTGTGGACGAACATTGTCAAGATCAGCTGATTATTTTCATGACACTTGCACAAGGCCAGTCAAAGATTCGGACAGGAGAACTCACTTTGCATACAAAAACTGCTATTTACATTGCAGAGAAAATGGCAAATGTAAGTGTTGTATTGCAACAATTGCATTTTAAGAGATGTGTGTTTAGGTACACTTTGATGTTGTTGAAGACAATGGCAGTAATATTATTCAATGCAACGGAATAGGATTAACAACATAGTTTATAATTATTAAGTATTCTGTTTGTGCTAATTTGCTGTTTGGTCCACGATAAAATGTATGTGAGTTTGATGTACATACAAAAATGTGATACAATCTTACAGACGGAGAGAAAAATATAGCATCTCGCAACAAGAATCTACTTGCAGTGTTTTATTTATTATCACAAACAAAATGCGCACTTTGTGAGTCCATCCGAGCATGAAGTACTACTTTTTTAACTTGAAGGCTTTCTATTCTGAACATTTGTTAATAAAAGATCTTTATAATTAATTATGAGCATAATGAATTTATGCAAACGTTTTCTCTCTTGTGCTCTGTAAGTTTCCTTCCCAGAACAAATTGACTCACCCGGTATAGTTTAAAGACTGTAGGCTGTGGCTCCTGCGTCGCAGTGGTTATCCTTAAATGCAACTTTTTAGTTTTTAGGTTATATCATTGTTTATTTCTTTATTCATTGGTTTATTTATCAAACAATGGTTATAATTATAAAAATAACTTTTTAAAAATAGTTTTAGGATGTAAACAACTTTTAAATTAAAATGGCTTTATCCATATCACCAAGAATTTCGCTAATTATATTAAAACATTTATATTTCCCAAGACTACAAAGTATCAATCTTTGCTTCTGTAATCTTCAACCCGGTATTTTGGCGTTCGATTCTGACGCTTTAGAAAACTTTACCACACAGTTGATGCAGAGGAAGGTAAATAAATGGGAAAGCGGACGCATGAAGCAGAATTTAAGATCTTCTCCGCTATCGATAAAATTTGCAACTAAACAAAGTGTAGCAATTGATGTAACTGCAGTTGATGGTGTATTACGTGATGCACTCGAGGTAGATGACAAAGATTGCATTACAAGTGCGCTTGATGAGTGCATGAAATTTCGTGTTCTTCCGGATATGGCAAACTTGTTACAAGCGTTCTCATTCTTTGCGCATGCTGGTGACAAGGCAATGGTTTTAAAATTGATCGAATTAAGTAAACTTCTTAATGAAGACACTTTAGTGCAGTATTCATATTTTAAACATTATTTAGCCGAAGCCACTTGGGCTAAAGGGAATGTAAGTGAAGCAATTTTATTGTTCGAGGAAGTGTATGCTAAAAATTTATATTTACGAAGACGAATTAGGAGTATGTTAAATAGTCTAGTGAGTGACTCTATTAGAGGTCGCAGTGAAGCAGTTTTATTACTCATATTAAGTTTTGCGAAACGATTGGGAGAGATTTACAAAGATTTCTATCCTCTAGCTTGTATTTGGAGGTGCTGCATATTAAGCGAATGGTTTACTGATCAAAGCATTGCGTTAGAGTTACTAGAACACAATGAAGACCTGCGAAAAATTGTGACAAAACATGTACCCATCATTGTTTATGTAGCTTTGAGGGAACATCAGCTTGATCTAGTGTATAGAATTTTAGAAGTTTTATTGAGGTGTGAATCAAAAGCGCATTATGCCACAATAATAGAAATGCTATTTGATTATAGAGGTAATATTTTTCTCAAGTGCAGTGTACGAAGGCTAATTGTAATTTTAGTTAAACAGCGAGATCTTCAAGGTTGTACCAAGATCGTTCAGTGGTGTGAAGTCCACGGTATTACATTAGCCATGTTCCAACAAGAACAATACATAAACTTACTATGCTCAAGCCCAACTAGTAATCAACCATCAGAAAAACCTGCTAGACCAAGACCGCACAGTTATAACTTCAAATTTTAAGGTTGTTGCATATTTATTTAAGTAAAAAATGTTTGTAAAGATTTTGTACAATTCACCAGTCATCCTTCCTTAATCTATAAGTCGAATTGTTACTAGTTATTGTATTAATCCCTGGTCCATAGTATGGTATTACATAAGAAGATCCATCTGCAGGACCAAGTGTTTGAGTAGCAATAAGTATAATATCAATTAATTGCCCTAAAAACATAAACCCCAAAGTGCAAAACTTTGCCACACCTATCGCAGGATACCCTAAGTAAAAACGGTCGGCACCAAACATTCCCAAGAAAACCGATAATAATAAAGCTGTTTCAAATGAATACCCGTTCCTGAAATATTAACAATTACATCACAGAAAAACAACAATTTAAGCTTACGTCCAGATACAACTCATTTCCCTCGTAAATGAAGTATTCTTGGTTTCCATACATGTAATGCCTTCGACTGCAATGCACCATACTAAAATTTACTTTGTGACATATAGGATGATAAATGCACAGAGGTCCATACCTTTTGCTTTTCCAGTATCTTTATTACAACCCGCTAATTGCTGAGTTCTCGAATCTATGTGATTGTAGTTCGGATCGGGGCACAGATATTGGCCCATACGAAGGTTGTTACAGTTTACTTCAACATTACTAACTTCGTAAGCACAACATAGCAATATGAGCCCAATTAAATTTGCGTACATGCTGATCACATTGTTAATAAAAACACTTTATCATAATGTTTGTTTACGAATGCAAATATAACATAACCTCAACTACTGATCCTAGTAAGTGTCTAATGTCACAACCTTGCTACTCTTTCAAAGTTACGCTCATTATGTATACAGGGTCGCTGATAAGTGTCGAAACTGTCGATTATCGAGGAAATACATATACAAGATATCAAAAAGTTTTGGGATTCTTCAATGCCTACTGGGCAGTCATAATTTTAATTATACAGAGTTGGTCATAAAGGCGTGGCACACCAATATTGCCTTTAAATTTGTAAGAAGCATAATGTACCTAAATTCAATCATGTTCGGGTTATCGAGTTTTGAAAATAAACGCTATTGTTTTGAAAGTTATTGAAGGATGAACAACAATTAATGTCGTAAAATACGTATTTGAATGTAACCAAATACCTAAACATATTTATACAGGAACCTCTCTATTTGAGTACCGCGAGACACGCGAAAGAGCGCTATCTACACGGCCTGGCCTGGAATGACGAAAAATTAAGGAGTAAATTATATTACCAGGGTTATTTAATGTAAGATGTGTGATATTACTAAATAATGTTATCAATTAGGTAATACAATAACAAAGCACGTCAACAAAGTTCAAACCAAGTATGACCGCTTACTGACAACACTCCCTACCGCAACGTCGTGGCGCTGTAATTTGCGACCGGTTTTCAATGTCAGTTTCCTGTATTAACGTATATGATGTAACTTACTTCTGGAACCGATCAAGAATCGTAAATGTGCCTTTAGTCCTGTATACAGAACATCCAATGTAGTGGTACAAGAGACACTTCCAAACTACAAATGTAAACACGTTTATGCATCTATCCTAACCTACCTTTTAAATGTTAAAATTTAGTAATTTATTTAAGAACCTAAAAGCCATCACATGTAAAGTAAACAAAGGCAAACTTTTAGATACTTAATACAAAATGTTTAGATACCGCTTCCGAAATGAGTACGAATGCTGCCATGATTATAAAAAAGCCAAAATATGATGGTCGCACAAAGAAAAGGAAATGGGAGGACCGAAGGTCCGACAAAGGTGCAGGTCTCTACTCGGAGAAGAAGATTTGCGAAGAACCCTTTGTACGTATTAAAAGAAGAAAATATGTAATGCTGTTAGGTTATTCGGGAGTAAATTACTTTGGCATGCAGCGGTAGGTTAAACTGAAGTTAGTGTAGTTGAAGGGGTTTGTTGGTCTTCTTTTAGAAATCCCTCGATGCCAACAATTGAGGAAGACTTGTTTAACGCTCTATTAAAGGCTGATTTAATCACTCAAGAAGCCTTTGACCAAATTCAAACCGTGCAATTTCAACGTGCAGCCAGAACTGATAAAGGAGTGTCAGCAGCGCGTCAGGTAGTTTCCATAAAATTACGTAAGCTTCTGCTTGAAAGTTTTTTGTTATTACACATTTGTGTTGCAGCGGAAGAAGTGAGTGTAGCGAAAATAAATGAGTTTTTACCTGACCAGATTCGTGTATTTGGTGTGAAACGTGTCACGAAAGGTTTTAATAGTAAATCACAATGTGATGCAAGAACCTACACATATATGATGCCTACGGTTGCATTTGCCAAATGTGACACTGAAGCTGATCAGGAAACATTTCGTTTGTGGGAAGGCGCATTAAGTGAGATAAATGACGTCTTAAGCAATTTTAAAGGAACTAAAAACTTTCATAATTTTACCTGTAAGAAGCAGTATCAAGATCCAAGTGTCAAAAGGTACATAGTTTCATTTGAATGTGAATCGCCAATAATACGGAAAGGAGTCGAATTTGTTGTTCTCAAGGTTAAAGGGCAAAGCTTTATGTTGCATCAAATAAGAAAAATGGTGTCCATTGTCATAGCAATAGTCAAGGGATGTATCCCACTTACCACACTTAGTAAAGCTTTGAGTGAGGAAAAAGTTAACATTCCTAGAGCACCCGGATTAGGATTAGTCCTTGATTTTGTTCATTATGATAACTACAATTATCGTTACGGTACTGATGGCATTCACGAGGTTTTGGAGTGGAAGGAAGTTGAATCGGACGTTGATGATTTTAAGGAAAAATATATTTATCCAACAATTGTAGATACGGAAACAAGTGAAAAACCGATGCTTTTATGGCTTAGTGAGCGTCTTACTAGACATCGATTTGACCAATTGGATGATGATGGTAAAGGCAGCGGAGATGAAGAAAATAGTGATGATGATGAAGACACAAAAGATGAAAAAAATGACCCAAAAAGTGTAACAGAAACAGACCGAGGCATAGTGTAATTTTAATAAATGTTTATATTAGTCTTTTCTTAGTGGTATAGCGATATCTTCCCAGACTTTTGTTGCCCAAAATTAGCTTTGTTTAAATTGAATACACAAAGACATTAGCATTGTTTAAATGGGTAAACAATGTTATTATTAGTATACATTTTTGTATTACATGTAGCGTACATGTACGGTTAATGACACGACTCAGTTGGGATGTATCAATTACATCCCTGAGAAGTCTCCATGTTTGCTGGGAAGCCTATGCTTTCAAAGCTAACCTATAAGGTAAACCTAAGGCTATATAAAAAGGATATTAGGAGACGTCGGAGAGAGGCATGAAAAGTGTTTCCAGCTCTATAGAATCCATCTCCTCTGCATCCCACCTAAATAAAATTCTAACGAAAAGTTCATATTATAACCCACCTGGCTGCAGACCAAACGATGGTTCCTGCACGGACAATCTCTCGGAGACAGCCGAGGTACTGAGAGGCGCCTGTTTTCCCGGAGCCACCACAGCACCATACCCCAACTGCTCAGAGGTAGCACCCTTCATTCCCACTGAGAATGACTGGGCTGTTGCCAGTCAGATGGTGGATGTAGCAAGGGGACTGGATATTATTGTCATCTACCTAGTGAGAATATCTCTATGGGCTGTATCGTTTTCAGATACATATACCTAAACCTCGACCTAAACAATGAAGGGAGATAAAAATTATGTCTATCTCCAATAGGTACTAGCAAAGATGATTACTCCGCATCTAAAGCATATCGCCCATTCAGTTTGATGTCTTTTATTCTTAAGACACTTGAAAGACTGCGCGATAGATACAAAAGGTTTCCGCTGCAGCCTAACCAACACCTTACCAGGAAGATCTACAGAGTCAGCTCTGCACAGCGTCCTAGGGCGGATAAGCACTCCAGACTGGGAGTATTCATAGTTATAGAAGGGGCTTTTAACAAAACAATCTTCGAAACAATAGAAATGGCTTTTATACGTCATCGCGGGCGGCGTAACTTAAATCGCGTACGGGACTAGATTGTGCAGCTGCTGAATTTCAGAGCAGTACACATCAGCGTTGGCGACGAAATACTAAGGTGCCAGTAGTCAGTAGTGAGAGGTTGCCCCCAAGATGGGGTGTTATCTGCTATCACCACTTCGGTGGAATAACTTAATTGTAACTGTAAATGGGTATACTTATGGTAAGTAGTACTGTATGAGACTGATGCAATCAACTCTTAGAGTAACAGTAAGCGAAGAATGGTGACAAAAACGGAGTTAGTTATCATCACAAGAAAAAGAAAGGTAAAGGGCCTTCGAACTCGCCTTGTTTTCTCCAATTTTCAGTCGGTAAAATATCTAGGAATCACACTTGTAAAAACACTAAACATATCCATCTCAAAGCCGAAAAAGCAAAAGGGCTTGCTGGCAAAGTCGCCGCGCAATTGGGAGACTTTGGGGACCATCCCCTACTAGGGAGCAATTGTCTGGTGGCCTAGAACCAGACTCTCCACAACTGTATAGCACTCCTTAATCATTTGCAAAGACTAGCGTGCCTTGCCTGCGAACGACCCCTACAGCCGTCATGGAGGCCCTCTTGGATCTGCCTCCATTAGATCTCCACGGGAGAGAGCATCAGGCCACTCTGGCATCCTTGCATTAAAAAAAAGGGGGATGTTGAACAGCAGAGGTATTCAGGTGGACCACTCCCGAATTTTGGGGGAGTGTCTACTCTAGAAAGCGATCTCGGACTCACTCACTCAACAATTCATATAGCCGCAGGGGCGGACTGGGTACTTACGGGCCAGGTGGAATTGCATAGGTTACGGGCCATTAAAGTATTAGTGTAGTAATTTTTTTATTTTTTTTATTTTATTTTATTTTATTATCCCTCTCTTGTTTTTGGGCCCTCAACAGGCATGCGCCCAATTACAGAGTGACCCGCATAATGCTATGTAGAGGTGCCTCTGCAGAAGGTCTTAAGATGGTCTATACTACTTCGGTATTTACCTTACGAATTAGGAAAACTGCAGGAAAACCTAATTCGGAGTAGCCGGTAGAATGCTCGGAACTGGTCTAAGGTAATTTCCATCTCCGCCACAGATGAAAAATTCACCTCAACCCAGGTTCGAACAACCGACCTCCGGATTTGCAACCCAATGCTCTACCACTGAGCCATAAATCCGATTGTTGAAGGTGGCGGGGGGGGGGGGGTGCTCTGCATTTTTTTGCTTCATTTTAGTACTCCTTTTTCGGAAATCAATTACAATACGGTTTTTTTTTAAATTGCAGCTGTTAATTAAAAGTAACAAAATATACAATCCAAACGAGGCGCGTCGCCTATCATTGTAATTCAGCACTTTCATACTACGACAAAAAATGATAAATTCATTGTAAAACACTTCAATTAAAACAGAATTTTTTAATTTTTTAACAACCTAACATCAACCCCAATTAGAGAAACGTGTTAATAATTTATTAATAGTGCAAGAAACTAAATACAGCACATACTTATAAATTTCTAACGGGCCATTATGACGTACAGGCCAGGTGGCACTCGCCACCCGCCTCCCCGGGCCAGTCCGCCTCTCTTTCTAGTCCTTAACTTTTGATTGAGACGTCCGATCGAAAAAGTACGAATGGTTTTGGATTCTACGCACCAAAATTAATAAGAAAAAGTGTTTTCCCGAGAAATTTGGGTGCAGTCGATTTTTGGTAAAAAAGGAAGGTTACACACTACCTTTTTTGAGCCTCGAAAAAAAATTGTCTCAGATCGACCCGGAAAAAAATTTTCTTATAGAATGTGGCCTGTAGAATCCATAATTTCAAACAGTTCCAAGATTGGGCTACTAGTTCAAAAGTTACAGCCCTTTGAATTTTCTTTCGAAATTGGTTTCTAGTCTATAACTTTTGATTGAGAAGTCTGATCGAAAAAGTACGAATTGTTTTGGATTCTACGCACCAAAATTAATAAGAAAAAGTGTTTTCCCGAGGAATTTTGGTGCAGTCGATTTTTGGTAAAAAAGGAAGGTTATACGCTGCCTTTTTTTGAGCCCGAAAAAAAAATTGTCTCAGATCGACCCGGAAAAAAATTTTAGGGTAGCTCTGCCGTGCACCACAAAAACATTTTTTGCTTCATTTTAAAGTACCTACTCCTTTTTCGGAAATCAATTACAATACAGGTTTTTTATAAATTGCAGCTGATAATTAAAAGTAACAAAATATACAATCCAAACGAGGCGCGTCGCCTATCAATTGTAAAACACTTCAATTAAAACAGAATTTTTAAATTTTTTAACAACCTAACATCAACCCGATTTAGAGAAACGTGTTAATAATTTATTAATAGTGCAAGAAACTAAATACAGCACATACTTATAAATTTCCAACGGGCCATTATGACGTACAGGCCAGGTGGCAATCGCCACCCGCCCCCCCGGGCCAGTCCGCGCCTGCATATAGGGAAGAACTAATCACATTTTTTTATTGGGATGTGGCATATTCATATAATCTGGTATATTTACTCCAAAGAACTGAATTTCCATCCCACCCACAATCACTAGGCAAACTTCCTACTGTATTCCAATCATAGTTGGTCGGGCTAACGCTAAGTGTAAGAAAAGTTCTTATGCACAACATAAAGAACAAAACGATCAGAATCTCGATTCTCCAGTGGCAGCAGAATTGTTCTGCATTCTCTTGATCACTGTAAAATCTAAAAAAAGCATTATGCGGGTCACTCTGTAATTGGGCGCGAGCCTGTTGAGGGCCCAGCACAAAGAGAGGGATAATAAATAAATAAATAATAAATAAATAAAATTTCAATTACATCTTAGTTGGTTTCCTAATGTCACCATGCACTTGAGCATATAGCAAGCAGGAACACCCTTGAGCTTGTATGGGTGAAAGGGCATGCTGAAACGGAAGGTAATCGAGTAAGCCGATGAGTTAGCCTGACTGACCTCAAAACAGGTGTCTTATGGTCCAGAGCCGGTTCTTCCACTTAGAGTTGCAACTGTAAACAACTTAATAATTAAAGACACCCAAACCCAGCAGAGGGCTAGGTGGAACATGATGTTAGGTTAGATTATTGTCATGCGAGAGAAGCCTTCAAAGGATCATCTCGTATATTGGCGCGACGGGTTACTCGTGGCCATACTTTCTGGGCCCTGCAAACTGAACAAACACATGCACCGCATTATGGAGGTTCTCGTGAAGAATTATTTTTTTTTTGTTTCATTTCTTTGCATTATAGCAAAGGTACTCTTTGTTTATGGCTCATTATTTATAATGAGTGAAAAATTACTTCTTTACGTTCGATCTTATATAGCAAAGTTTTTTAAATCATTTGTAAAAAATGGATATGGTTTAATATTGGATTATATTTTTATAAATTTCTTTAAGACAACCGAATACTGTTTAAAATTATATTTTCATTTTTTTCAGCAGATGGAAACAATATACCGCATCTAAATGACCATCATCATTCGCAATATCTTCAGGGTATGATGAAAATGAGAAAATGTTTATATTTTATTTATCATTAAAATCTGTTCGCAATTTTTATGTTTCGGTTCTTCTATATCTCGGGTATAAATTATGTACATTATTAAAATAAAGATATAAATTGAATTCAAGTGAAGGTTTGCTTTAGTTCAACCTGAATGGCCTAGAAGCGCCAATTCGCGTTTAAAGCAGTATTCCTACAACACTATAATTTGAAATTGAAAATTGAAATGAAAAAAAAATGTGTGATATTACCTACTTTAAAAATTGAAAAGGTAGTAAATGAAGAAATAATTTAAGCGCCAAGAAAAAATATGGAAGCAAATTACAAATAAGGACAGTTAACTGAAGATGCAATAAAAACCTAACGCCTTTAGTGTCACTTTGAGAGTAAGCGATTTAGTTTTTGAAGTCAATTTTGAGAAAGAAAAAAAAAGGAGAAGTTTCCAAACAGTAGGTAGGTAGGTACAACATAGGTACGTCACCCTAAATTTATGTCAAGAGCTAACCATGGGCCAGGTTTAATTGAATATGAGGCCCGAGTTGCAAGCTTATTGAAATCTCCACAATGAGCTAACTTTAGTCTTGGCTTTCGGCGCATCGTTGCAATAAAAAGTGGAATTTTTATAAGCAAATCCTCATTATTCCAGTTACTCACCTTCCGTGGCTGCATGTGATTGAAATACGATCGAGCCATTTAACCATCCCATTAAAGTGGATGGAGGTTAAATCTGTGCACTTGCACAGTTTAGGTACATTAAATATACCATGTGCTGTTCATTACACATTTATACATACCTGCATAGCCGAACAAAATACCGTGAATGACAATCGAATTTTAGCTTGCTCTCAGCTCCTGTTGTAGTCAATGTTTTATTACATTTTTTCTATAGAGCTCGTATGTGTAACAACCAGCAAAGATAAAGCTTCGTAGTAGTAGGATAGTTATAAATTCAATGGTACCTATAGTAGCAATCTTCCACTAGGTTTTTACAGTTTCCATCCAAATATAGAAAGTTCATAAATAACGTAAAGCCAAATAGAAATTACTTTTATTTTCATGTTTCTAACACAAAGCTGTTATCATATACATTGGTTTCCGTCGAATTTCTAACGAAAAATCGAAACACACTTGTATCGTTAGAAGGAGACTCTCATATTACAGCGAAATTGTAGTATATGTAAGAGACGAGAGTTCGTTTACTTTCGAAATAAAATGAAGATTATATCAGAGACGAATCGATGTGGTAAAACGCAGTTGCTCCCCAAACGCTACGTTTGCTTTCGAATTTGGTTTCGAATTTTGAGCTGCAGCCACGCGAGTCAGTGGTCGTTACGCTGTACGCTTGAGGACTTTTAATACTGTTTAGACATGAGTTTTTATTTGAAAACATCTACTTTTAGCAGATAACCAGTTACAAATTAATTTTATTCATATTATAAGACACTCCGTGGAATTAAGGCTATGAATAGATACACCGTACTTAATTTTTTCATATGGCTAGAAGGTAGTTTGAAAGGATATCTACCTACATTGTGCCTGTGACGCCGGACTAAATAAGAGGGTGCGGATTCTTTAGAGTAAATTACATATTCATCACCGAATATAAAAAGAAACTAAAAAGGCGTCATCCGATTCAACTGAAAAAGAACTTTATTCATTTTATGCAAATAAAGTTCAGCGAATAAGCAAGAGCGCTGGCAAGGTAGAACTCCCGCTTACAAGCAATTATGATTAATGATGAAAACTTTTAGTATTTTATTTATAATTAAACAAGAAGCAATATCCTTTTGTAGATAAAACGGAATATTGGATCAATCATTACCTACGATTAACGAGATACGAATTGTTTGCCAATACGAAGAAATATGACAATAACCTTCGTGCTTGGATCAATTTTATAAAATTTCAAACTAACTTTAAGGTCAAACTAATTTACTACGTTGGTCATTTTCCCACAATTATTTGTAAAGTGCTGTGTCGACGTTTAGAGCCACAGTCAAGTAAAGCACTTGGAAAGTGGACTCCTGGAGCTTATTACCCCCAACGGGTCTGACAAGAACACAGAACCGTACAGTGTCATATATTCGCGTTTTTGTTTAACCAGAGACCTGCACGCAGGGTGTAAAAATTAAGACACGCGACATAATGATATCGGTGGTAAAATTTCCTGCCCTTAAAATTCAAAAAGGGCGAATAATTCTTAATGCGTAAATTGTCACAATCGGGAGATTTAAAGTGGTAGGTACATTTCATCACTCTATTTTTCGAAGTTAGTTAATTAGATGTAGGTACCTATCTAATGGGATACGTAACATCTGTATTTGACAGAATTTTTTTTTGTTATGGTAGTTTTAAGTACGGTTCTGACTTAAATTACGTTGAGAAATTAATTAAGATGCCGTAAAATCGGTTTACCTAAATTAGAGTGACTGTGAAACTTAATGAGAGGGAATAACAGCCCTTTTATTTTTTGTCAGAGAAATTTTAAGTTTAATTAATTAATAGTGGCCACTTTCATTACAGTACAGCCTCACCACATTTTTTTGCAATTGTTAAGGTTTGTAATTGAACCTAAAGGAGGATTTTTTTGAATACAGACGGAAGGAAGTACAAAAGAGTCGTAGAGGAGGAAACAAAGTTGCGTAAACCAGGCGTAATGGAGCCCCGAAGGAGGTAGAGTTGGGAAAAGAGGAGGCTGGAAGGATGCGCGAAGGAAAGTAGCGTGGACCATGAAAACTGACTTGTAGAAAGACTTTGCTACGACAGATTGCCGCGACAGGGGAATCAAGGATATGGAAAGAAGGCGTATTGAAGCCTCGAAGGAGATACACCTGTGAAAAAGGAGTCGGGGAGAGAAGCGCGAAGGAGGAAAGTTGAACTTGTAGGCGCGCAAAAAGAATAAATATAGACTAGGACCAACGAGTTATAAGGTCACTCTCCTGGACAGCGAACAGTAACTGAACTCTGATTGCCTGTTCCTCAAACCTGAGGGGCTCGTGTGGTTTACAGACGAAAGGGCCGACGGGCTGGCTCACGAAGGTAGTAGCGGGGTCTTCGTTGGGCTCTACCATTGAAATTGCTGCCTCCGTTGTCAGGGCCAGGATTAAAGACTGGGTGAGCAGTCTATTCCAGGCGTAGTGGCAACAAGCAACCGGATTCAGGCAGTCCAGGGCCTTTTTAACAGGGCCCTTGGGCAAATCTGGGTCTTCTAAGCTTTTAAATCTCAATAGAAGTGAGATTAGGAAGATTATCAGTCACAGAGTTCCCAAAAAAACCTTGGGAGAGTGGGAGACAATTGTAGAAACGTATTGACCGTCATTCAAAAGAGGTTCTAAAAGACCATCTATTTTGGCAAAAAGACCCAAAAACGTGTGTCATCCGATTTGCAGCGGAACCTTCTTTGGAGGCACAGTCGGATCCAACAAATCGAAAGCAAATGTACCGCAGATTAAGTTTTTCGTTTTTCCAAAATTACAAAAAGAATGGGTTATAAAGTGCAATGGAAAGGGGAACCTGAACCGCGTATGCAATAGACCTGTGCAGTTACCATTTTCCGGCCGAAGAGTATGAAGATGAAATGTAAGCTATTTTGAATAAAGTGTGTTTAATATTTCGCTAGCATGTTTCTTTCTATCAGGAACTTTTCAGCACATCCATGTAAAGTACCATTTCGATCCATTTTGCATTTTTTGAACTTGCTCTGTTGTTGTTGTGTTAATAATGAATTTTTATGATCTGAACAAAATGGGATTCTGGGTGACGTCATTCGCGTATTTTAATACTGAACGTTTATTGGCTGAAAGTTACGAGGCAACCTACTCTCTTTACTAACCTTGCGTCAATGTGACCTTTAATTCAAAATATATAGACAAAACAATCCAAGATAGTGGGGGTTGCTCAAGTTTCATTTTCTAAATTTTTGAGAGGGTTACTCACAACAAACACGATTTTTTAGCAAATAGTCCCCTTGGCAACATATAGAAATAAGTCATTTATGTACCTAACCAATTATGAAATCAGTAATTCTCAAAAAATGTGCTACGAAGATGTAGGGGCCCCCTTTTTGAACGTAGTTTTCATAAAAGCACTGGCCAACATTTGTTTAAATTCCTACCGTCCGTGCGTCTACGGGTTTTAGATCAATCTTAAACCGCTGAAGTTTCTTGTAAAACTAATAGCTCACATATAAAAAAATACGCTTGAGCCACATGCTTTGTCGGTTTTGGTAAAGCAAGGCATGATCACTATCTTGAAAGAACAAAAATTTATTGATCATCTACTTATGCCATCATAACTATTTCCAAATATTTTTCTGGTATTCCTTGGTAATACAACGACGAGCGTTTTCAGAGCGAATGTCCGCAGGAAGGCTGTCCTCGCATGTATCAACAGCATCGATGAAAGGATCTGTTGGCCTAGATGACTGTAGCACATCATCGCAGACGCCAGTGACGAGCAACGGTTCAACTTTTTTCGATTTAATCGCGTCAAAATCTACTTCGGCATTGCGCAAAAATCTCCATCCGGTCCATGCACAATCCAAAAATTCCCTAAACTTTGGTCCCTCGTCTTCTGAATATTCGGTGAGGTAGTTTTTAGCCACAGTGTTAGGGTCGTATCCGTGCAAATCTCCACATTTTCGTAAGACATCATCAAAATTAAAAGAACAGATCGCAGAAACCTTAAAAAAATACGATATTTCCGGGTTTATTAACTTAAAAAGTAGGTAACTTACCCCCAAAATGGTAGCGAAGAAACAGATCACCGTGAAGCTTGTAGACATTGTGGCTGGTATGGTGTCAAAATGTGAATCCTGGTTTTATATAATGTCTGCTTATCGTTCTGATAAGCGATGTTTACAAGTATGCTGTCTTTCACATTAGAACGATATGCAATTTTGACCTTCAGCAGTTCAGCTATATAAATCTTTTGGTAAACGTTTTTGAGACAAATCACCTAACACGTATATTTTACTGCGATTGTCACTTAAAGATCGTCTTTTGTTTTTGAGATATAACGTATATAAGTGATAATTTTGTTACTGGAAACCCAATATTCGAGATAATTGCTTTTAAATTCACTTTTTTTCCGTCCAAGTCAAATATCGCACCGTTATTTACTTAATTACGTTAAAACCACACTAGAAATCAGATAAACAAGCTGATGAAGAACTGTCATCATTTTCACGGCAGTTGTTACATGGGTACTTGATTTTTTTGATTAAAACTTGGAACTCTAGATTGTTATTAGGTTTTTGGTTTTAAAACTACAATTATCACGAATATTTCAAAATACAGTATCATACTTTTGAGCGTATTTGGTCTTAGAATTTCACTATCTTTTCAAATTCAGCATAAAAGAAATAACATTTCAATTTAAAAAAATTATCGCTTAAGTCATTGTCATATCAAAAAAACAAAAGTCGATAGCTCTATGGATTGCTCCCGTTTTTTCTGACTATGCCTCAAGGAGATTTTTAAATTAATTTGTTTTGACGCCATTTTACCTATAAAAGTTTGCTTTTTATTGGCAGTGCTCTAAAAAATTTTCTATTCTTAAATGTTAAGATTTCTTTCTGTACCATATTTTTCAAAGGTATAATTCACACGAAAAAAAATTAACCCCCGCTTTCATTTAATCTTTTACAGATTTGAGACGAAATATAAATTGTCATATTTTCGCACTACTGGAGCGACTAGTTTTATTACTTGGTCTAAGCTTTTAATTTGAAACAAATGATCACGTTTTTAACTAATTAGAATTTTTCCTTCTTTCATTAAGTAATGTGTCCCGTTGGCAATAAAATTTTAAGTATAAATTGCAAAAGCAATAAAACTGTCAGAAGCTGCAATTAACTGTTGGAAAAGTAAGATAATAATCGTCTGCTGTGCATACGATCATTAGGAATTTTCCTCATTATACAATTTCGTTACAGACGGTTTCTTTTAGTACATCAGTAGCAACGCGCATAGAAACCATTACCAATTTAGGTATATGCACACAAATGTCTCTTGGAATTTTATTTCACCAAACAAAAACATGTTTAAATATTTATTCTTTTACATTACTCTTTGTGCTTCTTTCAGTAGGTAAAAGTGACTTGAAAAAGCAGTAAATTTCTACAAAATAAACGCACTTAGGTACCTACTGGGCTACTGCTTATTATTACAGAATATAGGTACGACATACATAAAAAATGTATAATCGCTACACTAACCTTCCTTTTTGTGGTTTCATTGATTTTACATACGGCAATTACAATATTTTTTGTGGGGAACATGGTGCATTATCACTGCGGAATTTTTGGTTTGTGCTTAGTATGATACTTTGTGGTCAGGACGTGGCAATCTTGCATTTTTTGTTTTCATAAATTGTGATCAGTTAATACCTGGAGGTTTGAGTTTTGACATCCTACTTTTCAAAAATATAATTAATGCAAGCAATACTATATTTCTTGTTTAATACCTTTTCGATCGTAATTACGTATGCACCTTGGCCCCATCAACATAGAACAGAATAGGGAATATTTTTAGAGCATTTTTTAAAAATTAAAAAAAATGTGCGTTTTGTCCGTCCGTCCGTCCGGACCCTCTTCTACTACTTCTAGGGGAATGGTCCTAGAGTCCTGTAATTTTTTGCAGTAGGTAGCCTATACCTTGAAGGTGTCCCCCCCCCCCCCCCCCACGAATTATTTCCTGAGATGCTGTTTTTGAAAGTAAAAAGGGCATAACTTTTACAAACGACAACGTTGTCAACAATTTTCTTTACAAGCAATATTTTAATAACTCTTACCAGTGGTTGTACATCTCCGCCCCGAGTTCATTTTAATGGAACGATCGTAATGAGAAGTAACTGACTGTGCTCACTTTCCATTTAATCCTAAAAACATTTTTGCAATTCTTTTCAAATTTTAACTTCATTTTTAATAATGGTATTAAAGGTCTGTTGACAGTTGTTGTTAGCAACGTTGAAATGTTTCAAAGCATATACTACAAAGGGATTTTATTTGCAGTACTAATTCTTTAATCTGAAATACAATTCAGGTAATTCTAGAACTTTTTCAAAATAAGTCGTACAACGGCTTATTCGAAAAGCTTTCAGAACTCTTTGTACATCATTGCCTTTAGTCCATACCACGAGAGATATCTAAAACTGTCAATATTTTTACCCAACGTCTGCTGTTGGTTTCCCCTTCAATTTAAATTTCAATTGATGTTGTGTCAATCAGTAGGTACCTAATACAATCAAAAGCTGCAGTCTCGTTTGACGTAAAAATAAATTAAGCCTTTAAATTTCTGGTTGTGACGTTCAAAAGCCTGCCACGTAATTTTGTTACTTGCGTTCAAAAATGATCAAACATTGTCTACGCCAATTTGTTAAAATCAGAATGTAATAAATGGCATTAAAGTTTCCGACTTTGCTTGACACGTTGACAAATTCTCTGCAAGATTCGCATGTTACGATAAACCTAATTTAGATGGATGTCGTCTTGGCACTTTTTGCAATGGCGTGATGGTAAATTTTAGGATGCAGTACTTAACGATATAATCAAACAATATTTATTGGTAGCAAACGTATAAGATTAGTTTTCCACCCCATTTAATAAGAACCGAGGCGATTATTAAAATCGGATATCCTGAATAAGCAATGTACAGTTTCCGTTAGTTTGAATTATAACAGTTGTATTCCAACCTAATTTTCGACCAATTATTTATTCAGAGGAGTTTGTAAATTACTTTTGAGAGTTCCAAATTTGTTTTCGAGGTGTATTTACGTTTACTTATAAAATACCACCCGCTTAGTATATCTTCACACTCACTGTAAAAAATATATTTCCCAATTTGATACTGATACGACCACGTTTTTCATTTGAGTTCAGTGAAACCGATAATCGCGGACACAAATCTAAAATCTGCCATGCAATTCTTTGGAGAATTTGAATTGAAATCGAAAATGCGATCATTTGCTTTTCTGATAGCGATTTCAATTTTCACTGAAATTAACCTATTTATTTTCAACCCCATGTATTAATCTGGTATAATACGTGGAAAATGAAGTTCCAGCGTTGTATTTAGAATAATTTTCCAGGCATTTATTCGCTCACATAGGCAAGCAAGATTTCCTATAAATGTATGGATTTATGTGGCCATCATTAATTAATCTATTTCATCTAATTAAAGTAAAATTAAGTACCCATTTATAACAGATGCTACACGTCGATTTCATTTATATGGATCTTAGGTACTACACACCCTGCCAAAAATCGACTGCACCAAAATTTCTCGGGAAAACAGTTTTTCTTATTAATTTTGGTGCGTAGAATCCAAAACAATTCGTACTTTTTCGATCAGACTTCTCAATCAAAAGTTATAGACTAGAAACCCATTTCGAAAGAAAATTCAAAGGGCTGTAACTTTTGAACTAGTAGCCCAATCTTGGAACTGTTTGAAATTATGGATTCTACAGGCCACATTCTATAAGAGAATTTTTTTTCCGGGTCGATCTGAGACAATTTTTTTTTCGGGGCTCAAAAAAGGCATAATTTTACCGTTTATTAAGGATCCTCGAGATCGTTTATAATGCTATATCGCCGTCTGTCTGTCCGTCCGCTTGTTTGTCCGGGTGCCGTTATGCATGATAACTTTTGTATGTGCGCAATCCAATTTTCTTATTTGTTAAGATATTTAAATGAAATTTTGTAAGTAGGCACCTCGATGTGCAATCCGTCTAAAAATATGCAAAAAAAATGGAAGAGATGGAAATTACCTTAGACCAGTTTCGAGCATTCTGCCGGCTACTCCGAATTAGGTTTTCCTGCAGTTTTCCTAATTCATAAGGTAAATACCGGAGTAGTATAGAACAACTTACGACCTTCTGCAGAAGCACCTTTAAAAAGCATTATACGGGTCACTCTGTAATTGGGCGCAAGCCTGTTGAGGGCCCAGAACAAGAGAGGGATAATAAATAAAATAAATAAATAAATTGCGCACGCCCAGACCCACATTCGTTATTTGTAAACTAATTCTTCTAAATTTCAGGGTTGACGAAGCACGCCAAAAAAAGATTGCAGATATGCAACGCTATCTTTCTTATTTGTGGCCGGATTGCTGCCTTCACCTTGAAATTGCTGCTAATCTTACCTCCGAAGCATTAATTGCATGCCCTATACGCTTCATATCTAGAATACGGCAGCCTTTGCAGCTCTTTTCAGATAATGGTACCTACTAATTTTCCAGGAGTAAAGAATGAAATAGATAAAATTTCATTTCATTTCGTTTCGTTTCATTTCATTTCATTTCATTTCATTTCATTTCATTTCATTTCATTTCATTTCATTTCATTTCATTTCATTTCATTTCATTTCATTTCATTTCATTTCATTTCATTTCATTTCATTTCGTTTCGTTTCATTTCATTTCATTTCATTTCATTTCATTTCATTTCATTTCATTTCATTTCATTTCATTTCATTTCATTTCATTTCATTTCATTTCATTTCATTTCATTTTCATTTTCACCAATATGTGTGTAATGTGTTGAAATTTACTTCAAATTCAATAATCCTAGCTTTGAAATAAGGACATGTAAAAAAAACGCTAAGTTGTAATTGTAAATTAATATAAAACTGTCTACAAATAATTCAGTTTTTCAGTCATTACAGACTACTTCAAAGCATTTAGCTTATACAAATCCCTACATGTAAATTTATAAAACGGCATGCAGAAATTTGATCAGCTGTTTTTCACCCAGAATGCTAAGAAGAATAAGTAAGTACCGCAATGAATTTAGGAATGGATCAATGAAAGTTTGCACGCTGAACATTCAGTATATCCTCGTATGATTTGTTTTAGGAAGTATTATAAACAAGCAGAAAATAAGGAAGAGAAAAATACAGTATCTCAATGTTTTTCAACGTGCTATTTCGTATATAAATAATGGATGTCAGCGATTTTGGCGTTCGTGTGACAGAAATGTAATAACTAAATAAAACTCAACGTCAACCAATT